TCTGGCAAAACCCATTCATGAGCTTCTGTTTCGCCATCCTTATTTGCCAATTGTATTTCGTGAGTGAGCTTTTTTACTCTTCGCACGAGCTCGACGCCTTCGCCTTATAGAAGAGGTTTCTGATTCTTATTCTAAGCCTTGAAAGCCCCTCATTCCACCACCGGCACCTCCTAAGCCTCCACCTCACTTCCCAAACCTTCTCCTAAAAGGGAAGTTCCCATGATAAGCGGTAGTGATGGCCACTATCAGGGCCTCACTGACCAGTTTGATATCCGCCAACTCTTTCACAGAAGAAGGGAGGGAACCAACCCTATCCATGAGGAGCGTGTCAATTTGACTTCATCTATGGATTAAGGCACCCGATACATATCTTCTGCCAAGCCCTCAGAAATCAGGATATCGAACAAAATTTACCTGTGGTTGGATATGGATGTCTCAACGCTTTTGCTAATAAACTCAATGCAAACAGAGACGTCAACAACCTCTTCCCTAATTGCATTTATGAATATCAGCTTATTATCCTCATTCCAATATATACCCCTTATTCAACTTCGTATGATCTGATTTAAAATTTTTTATTTTTTTTCGTAAAGTCCATTAATATTTTTTACAAAGCCCATTCATAATTGTTTTATCGTCTGGGGCGACTCTTACCATTTATGTCTAGAATTTTTTTTTCTGTGCTATTTAATTAGTTTTAGCTTTAGGATAATTATTTGATTCAGCTTTGAATACAGACAACCTTGTATTTTTAAATTTTTTCAAACAGACACGTCAAAAACCTCTTCCCTAATTGATTTATGAATGTCAGCTTATTACCCTCATCCCAATATAAACCCCTTATACAACTTCGTATGATCTGATTTAAAATTTTCAAGTTTTTTTGTAAAGTCCATTAATATTTTTTACAAAGTATATTCATAATCGTCTCATCGTTTGGGGCGGCTCTTACCATTTACGTGTAGCTTTTTTTTTTTGTGCTATTAAATTAGTTATACCTTTAGAATAATTATTTGATACAGTTTTGAATTTATTGTATTTTATTGTATTTTTCAATAAAAAAAGTCAATCTTTGGCATTAAAGAATCTTTTTGTATATCGCCTTAAAAATACAGTTTTCTATATTATGATGATGGAGAATATACGGAATCAACATTGAAGCTCTGCTAAGTAGACATAATTTTAACCGTAATAGATTCAACTTTCTTCGCCCCCATTTTATAGTCTTCATTATGTCTTATGGTGTCCTTAACTAAAATAGCACTACCTCCTCTTGCATGATTACTACGAAGAGTTACCCATAACAATTAAAACCAGAAAAATCTAAACTGTTCCCTAAATAGGTTTTCAACAAAAGACATACATCAATATTGAACACCATTTGCGTTACATGTACCAATTCGTATTTTATTTACTGACATTTTTTAGAAACTGCCTCGAGGTAATTTAATGTACATTTGCATATCTGTCCTCTACAGGAGTTAATGTTATTGAGATTTTATCTATTCTTAATAGCATGTCTTTCATCATTTGCATTATATTACTGTCAATTTCTTCTGTTTTTTTGACTATGTTACTGTCAATTTCTTTTATTTTCATATTTTTTTTTAAACAATCTCCATAACTGGTAGTGAATGCATCATCGCAGCTTGCACACCTGCCTGTTTTCTTTTTTTTTACACTCTACCGTAATGTACCAGCACATCTAACACATTTAGCCTCCCTTTCATAAAATCTTTGTATATGTTCGAACCTCACGTGCTGAAAATATTCTATTTTAAATATTTTATTTATGTTTATTTTATTAAATGGACAACTTTTTTATAGTACTTACGTTATTTTCTTTTATTTTCTTAATTTTATTTATCTCATTTATACATTTTAATCCGCCTTGGATGGGTTCACACTTAATTTCCTCTAGCTCGCATGACATCATGTACTTGTCTACCCCTCACTTCATGTTTTCCTCTTTGAGGATACTTATTAAGCAATTGTTATTTGTTATATTAGCCAGTGCTACTGGAGGAGGCTTATGTTTTTTAAGTTCAACATTTTTCTTTGTTGTAAATCTCTCTCCTTGTTGTAAATCGCACAATAACAGTTCCATTTTTGGTGACCTTTTGGCTTTTTTCTTTTTTGAATTTCTTTTCGTTGTAAGAACTTAATCAGTTTCTCTAGCCGATTCTTTCTCATCTGTCTCGAATATGATAACATTGATGGTTTCCTATTTTTGCCTATATTATTGCTGGAAATAGATTTCATATGTCGCTGGAAAAAATAATCAAATCTCACATCCCATCTGGTATGTACTAATTCAAACATACTTTTCTCAGTAAAACTATTTGAGAAGTTGAATATAGACCTTGTGCAATATTAATGGCAGCAAAAATCGGTTGTGTGAGAAAAAATGGGAATGCCCTTTTTAAAATATTTTAAGCTACAAAAATTTTAATTGTTAAAAAAATAAGAAGATCTTACTGTAAACTCCACACGCAATTTTCTTCAAATTTCAAACCAAATAACACATAGACCTTAGTGTAATTAACAATCTCATTTGTAAAAGATCTGAAATTGCAGCGTCATTTTTCAAAGTATCTGCAATTATATTTTATTCATTGACAAAAACATAGACCTTTGCTACCGACCTTGGTTTTGTAATAAGGCAGGTCATGTGATAGAAATAAATTTTGTATATTGAGTTTTCGGTGGGAACGAACATCTTCATGGTAGGGAAATGAAAATAAACTATTTTTAGCAAGCTGTCGGTCTGCCAGTCTATGTGTGGCCGCGTGTATTTCAACTATGGCATGGGTTGATAAACTTTTGGGATACATCAAGCCTTGGGAATTGGGCTTTTTAGCGGGCCTGTTTTACATTTTTGATCATTTTGAAGAAAATATTCAATAGATTTATTTGAAATTTCATATACAATCTTCATTCGAGCTTACGCGAAACTTTCTAACTTTTGGAAGAAATCAGTTATTAGCAAGTGAGTCTGCAATTATAGTCTGTAAAACAATGATTCTGTAGTTTTTTTTGGAAAGGTCAGAGCTTGGAAACTGATCTGGGGGCCGATTTTGCATGTTTTGTCATCTCTACGGAACATATGAATGAAATTTCTTGAAATTTAATATATGAGTTGTGGTTGTTACCAGAAGTACCGGAGGTACCGGAAGGCGCAAAATGAAACCCTACTAAGAGCCAAATTCTTGTGAATGTGGTAAAAAGATTTAAATGCCTAAATCCTAATATTTATTTATAGAAATAAAAATTACAGTCAAAAATTCAAATATCAACTCAAAATTTTATGTATTGCCCAAGATTTTGAATAAATAATATATTTTTCGGTTTTTCTGCATTTGTTTTAAACGAAAATTTTTATGATGTTGTCAAAAGGTAAACAGCTTTTTGTAGACGAAACTAGTTATTTTTTGAAATTATAGTGAAAGCAAATGTGAAATAAAGTAAGCGATTTTATTTTCAAGTCCTTCTTCTTCTTCTTTTACTGCAATCCACTGCTGGATGTAAGCGTGAAGCAATGTTTCTTTTTAATAGCCGTTTGTTTGTTATATCTAACTGATGTTTTTGATTATATCTGCATATTGATTTCTGTTTGCTGCTGCGTGAACCAATTCTCCAATGTTTCTTATACCTGTCCAATTTCGAATGTTTCGTAGCCATGACATCTGTTTTCTTCCGACGCCACGCCTGCCTCAATTTTTCCTTGCACAATTAATTGGAGCAATTCATACTTATTCCCACGCATCATATGACCAAAATAAATTGACTTTTGTCGTTTTATCTTAAGAAGCAGTTCACGTTTTCCCTGAATTCTGTTTAGAACTTCTTCATTCGAAATGTGCTGTGTCCAGGATATTTTTAAAATTCTTCTATAAATCCACATTTCAAATGCTTCTAATTTATTCATATGTTTCGTTTTTAGCGACCATACTTCTGCGCCATATAATAATATAGACCATACATAGCACCTAACAAAACGCAGACGCAAATTTAGTCGTATATCCCTGTTGGTGAATAACTTTTTATATTTGACGAATGCTGCCCTAGCCATCTCGACATTTTATTTCCATATCTGCGTCCCAGTTTTGGTGTAACCAACATCCTAGATATTTAGAAATGGACACCCTTTCTATGGCTAAATCATCTATTAGTATCGTCTCACCATCATAGGGTAGGTTATTTCGACTTACTACCATGAATTTAGTTTTTTTAGCATTCATTTTCAGGCCATACGTTTTGCTATGTGCATTTATCTCATTTACTAGATGTTGCAGGTCGTATATATTATCAGCTATTAGCGTGGTATCATCGGCGTATCGGATGTTATTGATGAATGTGCCATTTATTTTTACTCCTAGGTTTAGATCGGCCAAGGCTTCCTGAAATATTGATTCGGCATATATGTTGAACAATAATGGTGAGAGTATACACCCTTGCCGCACACCTCTGCAAATTTTCACATCGTTAGTATATCCTTCTCTCAACTGAATTGTTGCAGTTTGATACCAGTAGAGATTAATAATGTATCGAATATCTTTCTCATCTATATCCATAGTGCTTAGTATTCTTATCAATTTGTCGTGTTGTACTCGATCGAATGCTTTTTCGTAATCAATGAAGCACAAAAAGACATCCTTTTTTACATCTCGGCAATTTTGAACAAGAACTTGTGTGCAAAATAGCGCTTCCCTTGTTCCCATTCCGTTCTTGAAACCGAATTGCTCTCGTCCCATGTTAGTTTCGCATTTTCTATATAGACGATTATGTAAAATTTTGAGAAAAATTTTCAAGGCATGGCCCATAAGGCTTATAAGTCGGTGAACTTTGCATTGACGTGTGTTGTTTTTCTTGGGCATAGCGATAAAAGTGGATTTTAGATTTTTTTCTTTTCGCTGGAGTCAGCCACTATTTCTTTATCTTCGTTAAGTAAGATAAATGATTTTTGTTTACGGTGTACTCCCGCCGTTTCTTTTAGTTTCTTATGCAGGGTAAACATATCGTGAGCGCGGTCTAGTTTTTCTATTTCCTCGCACTTCTTGTCTTATTTTCGATCTTATGAGACGTTGTATTCGTTTGTATTCCTGATCGCTTTTGTTTCGATGTTTCCTTCTCTGTGCCATCAAATTTATTATTTCTTCGGTCATCCACTTTTTTTTTGGAGTAAAATTTTTCGGGCCCAAATTTCTTTCAGCAACAGTGTTTAAAGTATTTTTCATTTGATTCCATTCTAATTCAAGATTATCATTTCTATCGAGAGATCTGAGGTTGGTATTTATCTCCACAGTTAGTCTTGATTTGAACTCACTATCTTCAAGTTTATCTAGGTTCAGTCGCTTTGGTCTGTGTTGGCTTTGCGATTTAGATAATTTGATTTTAATTTTGGACAGAAGGAGGTTGTGATTTGATGATACATCAGCTCCTGGACACGTGCGAACTTTGGAAACTGATGTATGGAATCTTCTGTTAATGAGTATGAAATCAATCTGGTTGCGTACTATATTTCCATCTGTGTCTTGGGGAGACTTCCAGGTGTAGAGTCTTCTACGTGGTAAAGAAAACCAGGTGTTAGTTACTGTAAGACTCTCCTCTTGACAAAATTGGATTAGACGATCACCTCTATCATTCCTATTTCCTAATGCAAACGGGCCAACTATGTTGTCCACTCTTCCCAACCCGATTTTTGCATTGAAATCTCCCATGATAATATTCATTTCATGAGGCCTAGTAAATTTTGTCAATTCGGAAAGCTCACTGTAGAAATTTTCAATTATTTCATCACTTTTATCTGCTGTTGGTGCGTATACTTGAATAATATTCAGAGAAATAGATTTAGCTTTTATTTTTAGTAGTAGCGCCCTGTCTGAAAGTGGTATGCATTGTTCAACACTGCTTGCAATTTTCTTCGTTATTATAACTGCAACACCGTTTCTGTGATTTGGTGTGTTGTTTCCCGAGCAATATATTTTGTATCCTTCGTCGACGAAGAAATCATTTACGCCTGGTAACCAAGTTTCGCTTATGCCGAGAATGTCAATGTTCAAACGTTTCATTTCTTGTGTTGTGTTTAGCAATTTTCCTGTTTCGTATAGACTGTTTGTATCCTTTCGTATAGACTGTTTGTATTTTCAAATCCAGTATACATAAATTAAATTAATTTAAATATATCAAAATTATATATTAAAATGAAATTTAATATGTTTGTTTTCTCCAGGCTAGTAAATTACATTCTATTGCAATTTTTCATAATACTTATTGTATTTTGAAAAGACTTTTTTTTAAAAAGAATTTCCGTGTTTAAATAAAGTTTTTTTCGATGGTCTTGTTCCAATAATCTTCCCACCCGGAACCGCAGCAGAGCTTTTCCTTTCTGACCTCTCAAAGCCAATCTCTAAGTTCTCCTCACAAAGAATGATCATAAATGGTGACGATTGCTCATTTCCCCCTTGAAACTAGGATTAAGTCCCTCCTGCGGCTAATCCCTTGCGCGTCGACATTAACACTGGACAATAGTTGTACTGATATTCCAGTACGCAAAACTTCCTTTTTGGACGACATTTCCAAAAACTGTGTTTATTTTCGAATCTCCTTCTAGACCATATCGGCGTGACTGAAGCTCCCAGACACGAAAGGAGCTAGGCAAGCATGTAAAACTCATTTATCATCACGGGCCATTTTAGGGTTTCCGTACATTGCTTCGGGCCGTACAATAACAAAACTTAAACTCCTAAATTATACTCAAATTTTGATTTTTATTATCAACATAAAAAAATATGAAATTATTTTTTTAAAGAAATTTAGCAACGTTTTCTATTACTAAATCTACGAAATTTGCTTAATTCGCTGTTGTAATTTTTAATATTTTTAATATTAATTGAACATGTTGATGATGTTAAACTTAATTTTTCAGACGTTTTATTATTTTTTAATATCAGAAACTATTGTTCACACAAACATGTACTTACGAGCATGGTTAAAACACGCTTAATTGATTTATAGGTATATACTAGTAAATATAAAATTTAGTAATTTCTCCTTCCTTCTCCAAATTTTTGTTTTAATACAGAATCGCACACCATTTCGATTTCAATTGTAAATTTGCATCAAGTGTTTCAATATCAACAGAAAATTGAAAAGTATATAATTTAAACTCACTTTGGTATCTATTGAAATCTAAAAATCTTTCAAATTGAGTCTTTATTAATTTTCTCTAATTAAAATATTCGAAAAATTTTGAATTTACTTCACTTTTACAAATATAAGAAAATTAAACTAGTTCAAGTAAATAAGTATTTGATTTAAAGAACAGTCGCTTTCCACTTCTCGAAACAAACTAACGTGAACATTCGGTTCCGGCTACATTTTACATACAGTTGTGTATTTTTCGCATGGGCATAAGTTTGAATTTTGGATGTGTGACAAACCCCCGCAGAACCTTCACTCTGGTTTCAACACTTTTTTACTGATCTAAATCATATTTTTAGTAAAATTATAAGAACTAAATTTCACAATTTTCAAATATCGTAACGGGCCGTAAGATCAAGATCAGCGTGCCGCATGCGGGCCGCTTGTTTGATATGAATGAGCTGCAATTTTCGCGCACATCGGTTCTCAGTTCATTGATTCTAATTAAGCACCGCCACCAAAAACAATGTGGGATTCGTAGACGTAATTTTGTACAATTATTTATGTCTGCAGATTTTGCGTGAGAAAAGTGTTAATTTGGCTTGAAGCCTTTTATGAATAGAGGCAGAATGTAATTTTTATTGGACCTGGTAATAATTAAATCCTCCTAATTTCCCACAAGTTGTTCTAAGTACGACAGCAACGGACACTTAAATCTGACAAAAAGGCTGTAGTAATGAATGAAGCTGGTTTCTTTTTCATTTTTGCTATTGTTCAATTTTGCTATTTTCATTTTTGCACTGTAATGCATTTAATATTGTTCTAAAACATTTCAATACAATCTCTTAAAAATTTCTAAATAACATTTTAATCTTAACATATAATTTATTTAGTTTCAAGAACATCTTCAATTTCTAATTGCATTAAACAAACCTAAGTAAACCGTCATAAACTTAAATTAAAAAATACTCAATGCAACAGCATTTCCATAACCCAAAATAGTATGACATAAATATATCAAATATCATAACCCAAAATATATTAATATTTATTAATATAAATAAATATTTAAAAAATGAATACGGATGTTATAATAAACCGTATACATTATAGCACATTAAAATTTTGTAGGGTTTTGCGTAGTGGATTCTTTGTGTTTTATTGTGTTGGTATGTGAGATTGCCAATGACATTTTTCATCATTTGTATTAAATGATGGGTTTTTATTGCTGCTGACCTCCATTTGATTTTGATTGTGTTAGGAAACCAAAGATTTATATTGGAAATTTCGAAAATTTAGGGCCAGTTTGGTAGTTTGGTGGGGGGTTTTAATATTTATAATAATTTGGTTTGGTTTTACCGAAGATGGTAAATCAGGTTGAAATTTATTGAGGTCTCTCTTGTTATTTTTGCCAAGTAAAACTAGTGAATTTTTTTTTTCGTTGTTTTAATTTTTTTAATAATGCAATTTTTCATATGCACTCTAAAGGAGTCATATCAGCCCATGAAAAAAAGAAATGATTCAAAAAAGAAAAACGCTAAAAAATTGCTTGTTTTAATTCAGTCTTAATAAATTTCTTAAGGAAGTGCAATGATATTTCATTATAAAATACAATAATTGACGAAAAATTTAAGCATGAAAAATTTAGAAAGAGTGAATTACTTACCTTCGTTCTTTACAATTTGTCTCTTTTAAAAATGCCCAAAAAAATTTTCAGTACTTTATGCCTATTTTATTAATGAAATCTTCAGTAATCAAAAATCGTACAATTTTTTCTCGCTGAGTAAAAAACTTTTGTTTTGCCTTGTAATTTTTGGGATTTTGGGATGCGACAAAATGCTATTTATATTTTTAAAAACTACTGTTTACCGTTCCGTTAATTTTTTTGTATATTTTATACTTTTTCAAATTTTTGATTTTATAATAATCATTTGATTTTGGTTTGTCAATCTTAGTTTGTATATTTTCGGATGTACAACATTTCGTTTATACTGGGAGTTTCTAAAATTTATAGAAATTCAATCAGTACAGAGCTCCTCATTAAATTTTCAATTCAAAAGTTTTCGTAATGATTCACCAAACTTGCATATTTTTTTTTTATTAGAAAACCTTACTGCAAAACATCTTTATGTTGAAGAAAATTTTGAATATTTTAAATAATCAATCTTACTTTAAATAATCAGTAACTTAAATTTAATACAAAATATCTACGACGAATTAAAACTGCGAAATCTGCAAAAATAGTTGTTTGATAAAAAATGTACATTCGAAATATCTAAAGTTCTAAAGAATTGTTAAACCATTGTTTTGTTTACATGCTATTATAAAACTACTTCAAGTTGTTTTGAATCCCTTGCAGCTCTCTACAGCATTTTAAAAAGTTTCAAAATTTTTGCATAAGAAATTTGATAATACTTGTTGGAATCTTGAAAAGTATATCTTCTAATAAGAATGTAGTTCGACTCTCCGTTTACATCACATTAATGCAATCACTCACCAATAATTGTATACAAAAAATTCCCTTAGTTAAAAGAGTTAAGCAGTATACCTTATTATTTTCCATTTTATACACATAAAAATTTTTGGGAGAGGGAAAGAGTACGCATATATGTCTACCTGTTTTTTTATAATGTATTTTTAAAAGCGGGAGTTATTTTTTTCCCTATATAAAGTATAGGAAATAAAGTTGGGTCAAACCAATGGTTTGTATTGTAGCACTTTTCCCTTCAACAAGTGAAAATACTGCTTTTAAAAACAGTATATGTATATCCACCACACTATTAAAATTATTTTCATTTATAAACGAAACTATTTCTAGGATTGCATATATTTAGGATGAACCATTTATGCAGTCTTTGAAATAAAGCAAAAATTAATATCAACAGGGGTTAACATAATGCTCGATTTTAAGGGTTAATTGTGTGAGTTAAGAAAAATAATTATATTTTTTAATGTTATGGAATTTACCGTTAACTTTTTGCGTTTATAGAAATTTGAAAAAGCTTGCGGTTTCAGAAATATAAGGTGTCAAAAATACAAATTTTACAAATTTCAAGAGGCCATAACTTGAGAGGGGGTGGAGATGGAAAAAAATTTTCTTCTAACAAAATGAACTATTTGCTAAGGTCTAAAAGCTTCTAAAATTTCAAGCTTCTACAGGCTGGGGTCTAGAAGAAAAACGACATCAAAAATTTGGAAAAAAAGGACTGTAGATAACGGTAAATTTGAACGGCCATTTTGTTTTTCTAAAGTTTAACTGTAGTATACCGCGGTAGAGGAAGCAAGCCACTGCCTTTCTGCGTTTGCAAAATTTCAAAAATGCTTATGGTTTCATTGCAACAAATAGTTAAAAAAGGCCATTTTTAGGGTTTTGGAGAGGTATAACTTCTAGAGGGGGGAGATAGGTAAAAATTTTGTTCTACGAAAATAAGTTTCTAGTAAAGATCTATATACATACAAAATTTGAGCTTTCTATCTTTAAGAATGTAGAAGTTTTGTAAACAGACACACGGACAGACGGACGGACGGACGGACGGACGGACGGACGGACGGACGGACGGACGGACGGACGGACGGACGGACGGACGGACGGACGGACGGACGGACGGACGGACGGACGGAGTGAAACTAATAAGCTCTTTTTTTCAAAAAATTTTTGGAAAAGTGCTAAAAACGAAGCGGAAAAAAAGTGTTTAAAAAAATTGTTATAATTTATATAATATAATTTTGAAAAATAATAAAAATAAATTTTAAAAAGACGAATAATATTAAAAAAAATTTTTAAATAGTTGTGAAAAAAAATATTTTTCAGTTTTTTATAAACCATCCAAGAATTTCATGGATAATTTAAAGACTTTAGAAAATACTTTTTATTAAACTTTTTAATGATATTTGTACAACAAAAATTTAGAATATAAAATATATGAACACTTAAAAAATAATTTCAACTATGAATGTTGAGAGAAGTCCGAAAAAACATATATCATTAAACTGTATATTAGAATTAGAATTTACTACATAATAAAAAGTTTTAATAAAACTACAAAACAATTTGATATAAAACAAAAAATTTTTAGTGTTAAGCATTTGTAATTAATAATATAATAAATAAATAAAATAAATATCTTTAAATTTTTTATTTTCATTTCAATCTTAATAAATTTAGAACATATTTCCCGTGAATCGGTAATAATTATATTTCATAAAGTATTAATCAGTATGCAAGTTATATATCCGACCAATGAGATTTTATCCAGAATAATAGAACTAAAATCTATTAATCCTAAAAGTAATAAAATATAAAATTTATTATATGATTCTTAAAATTTCAACTTAAACAATTTTATGACTTATTTAAATTCAAACATAAGAATAATAATTTCTGATTTCTTCTTTTTTATTATTCTTATTATTATTTCTTAAGTACTTGACCTATCCCAATTTTGAACAAACAATTAAAATATAAAAAAATAAATTTCAACACATTTATTTTTCAAGTTCATTAACTGAAATATTAAATTGCATTAAAACGCAAACATGAAATTATTTTTCTTGTTCGTTAAAATTGAAGGATCATATTACAAAACGGCAAAATAAAATTTGTTTCACAATTTCCTTTTCAAGCACAACAAACAAAATTTATTGCTTTTGAAAAGAAGAATATTACGTAAATTATATTTTTTTTTTTGTTTTAATAAATTAATGTTACTATGTAAAAAATTGAACAAAAATCGATTTGATTTTTGAATACTTTTATAATAAGATCTTAGAAAGTAAAAAGTTTAGTTTAAGTTTTGGTTTCATCGAGTTTAGTAATAAAAGATTAAATAAAAGAATAAAATAAATTCTTTTAATTTGTTTCTTTTTCTAATACTTAAAAAAGTAACATACAAAACTGGCGCAGTAATCGGTAGAATCGCCAACTGATGCCAATCGCGAATTTTTAAAAGTTATTTAAAACACAACGCGATTAAAAAACGCTAATTTTAACTACTATGAAAAGTGCAATAGATTTTAATAATATTAACTCATATAACTATTGTGAAAAGTGCAATAGATTACAATAAACAATTTAACTCTTATATACCTATAGTGAAAAAATGCAATAGATTTATAACAAAAAAAAAATTTTTTTATTGAACAATAATAAATAATAATAAAGGAGTCAGGTTTTTTTTTTAGAAATTAGTGGCGATAAAAAGAACCTTAGAAAAAGAAAACATACTTTTATATATATTAAAATCTGAATGAAACCATATGAAATTCCAGTAAGGAATAAAAACTTAAACTCAGAAAAGAAAACTTCATTGAAAATTTAAAAAACATAAAATTAAATATGTCAGTAAATCTAGAAGAAATTAAACTCGGGACTTAATAACTGAGGCAAGATCAGTTCCACCATTCAAAGGCGATGGCACCTTTGAGATTCGTCATTCATCAATCAAGTTGATTTAATCATTGGTTTAACACCAGATCCAGCGGTAAAATCGTATCTACTCAGTATACTATTGTCAAAAATACAAGGACCAGCGGCAGTTAGTATAAGACGTTTGGAAAGTCCAACTTGGGATGTCATCAAACAGCAACTAAAAAAGTCATTCGGGATTCAAGAATCCTATTTTAAGTTAAAAGTACAAGCCGATTCAGTAAAATTTTTCAATGTAAGTCAATTTTATAATGATCTATTAAATATTCTAGATAAACTTAATCTTAAATATAAGTTAGATCCCAGTAGTCCTTTAGAATTTAGTCCCAGTAATAACGAAAAAAGTATATTAGAAAAATTTCTCAATAAACTAAATAGGTCAGATAATATGCATTTAAGAATTAAGAATGTTAAATCTTTAGAAGAAGCCTATTACGAGCTTCTAGAAACTGGTATTTCCAATAATACAAATAATAGTAATAATAGTAACAAAACTTCAAATTCAATTCAGAATAATGAAAATAATAATTTTTCAACATATAATAATCATAATAATAATTATTATTATACTCCCAACAACAACAAAGACAATAACAAAAATTTTAACAACAATCATTCTAGTTTTCGAAACAATCATAATAATAAAAACTCTTTTTCTAATAATAATTTTTATAGTAACGACCATTACCGGTATAATAATAACCCAAGTAGACGATCAAATTATCGTTACCAGGGTAGTAGCAATAATCGAAATCAAAATTTTAGCAATAATCAAAATCATAATTACCAACGTCCAGAACCAATGGATGTTGATATTAATTACTTTGAAGGAAAAATTCTTCAGAAAATACTAAAGAATTATTAGAACAAATACAAATAAAGTTGAGTCAAACCAATGGTTTGTATTGTAGCACTTTCCCCTTCAACAAGTGAAAATTCTGCTTTTAAATACAGTCTATGTATACCTATCACACTATTAAAATTATTTTCATTCATATACAAAACTATTACTAAGATTACATATATTTAGGATGAGCGATTTATGCAGTCTTTCAAATAAAGCAAAAATTAATATAAAGAGGGGTTAATATACTGCTCGATTTTAAAGGTTAATTGTGTGAGTTAAGAAAAATAATTACATTTTTTAATGTCATGGAATTTACCGTTAGCTTTTTGTGTTTATAGAAATTTGAAAAAGCTTGCGGTTTCGGAAATATAAGGTGTCAAAAATTCAAATTTTACAAATTTCAGGAGGCGATAACTTGAGACGGGGTGGAGATGGAAAAAAATTTTCTTCTAACGAAATGAACTATTTATTAATGTCTAAAAGCCCCTAAAATTTGAAGCTTTGTAACGACGCGAAGAAAAATATTAGGCAGGTGAAACACCCCGTATGTAATTATTAGTCTTTAAAGTAATGGTATTATAGTATGCATACATGTATGTACAACCACATTTACAACCACTTCGCTTTAACCAACCATTTCGCTTTACAACCACATTTTAGTTTAATATGAGATGCAGTTATTCGAGAATTGATTCTCAATAACTGTATTGTATAACACGAAATCTTCTGGTATTTTCCAAGAGAATTTGATCATTATTAACTTAATCAGCAAGGTAGAAGGTAGTGATAAAATAAATAAATAATTTAAACCTAAAATAAATAATAAATAATAATTGTTAAAATAATAATAGAAAAATATAAAATAAAAGAATTATTGAAATAAAAATAATAAAAATAAAAAGAATTAAATAAAGTGTTTTAATAAATAAAAAATAATAGATGCCGACGACGACCACATTGGTGACCCCGACGTGATCTCTGTTTTTTCTTTTTAAATTTAAGTAATATTTTAAAAACTATTAAAAACTATTTTTGTTTAAAAAAAAAAAAAAACATTGCAAAAAATTAATTAGATAAATAATTAAGTTTTTTTTTTCTGTAAAATTAAATAAATAATAAGTATTCTTTGTTTTTTTTTTTCTTCTAAAAACTAAGTAAACAAATAATAAACATTTAATATAAATAGCATTCTTAAAAATATCAATTTAAAAAAAAAAAAAAGAAAATAAGTAAATTTTGAATATTAGTTTTTTTTTTTGTTCTTAAAAAAATAGTTTTTAATAGTTTTTAAAATATTACTTAAATTTAAAAAGAAAAAACAGAGATAAATTACAAAAATTAGTTTTGTTTTTCCTTTTTCAATCATATTAAAAATACCTTGCACATTTATTTTCATTAAAACTACATATGTATGTAAAATTGCATTTCATATTAACTAATAATAATATACGTTTATGTTGGGTTGTTATTACAACAACAACAACAACACAACATATAGTTAATACATATACATTAATTTTTTTTTATTCAGGTAAATACAATTGTTTGAAAAAATTTTTTTTTTAAAAATATTGGAATCGTGCATACAAGTATCCATAACAAATAGTGAATGCGATTCTCCACATTTGCATACATACATAATCATATAATTTTGGGTTGCTACAATTCTACATATTAACTTATTATATCATATTGACATACACGCATTATTATTATTTGAAATTAAATGATAATAATATCTTATACCTCAACATTTTAGAGTGACCAGCTACCTTTTTTTTTTTTTACAAAAATTTAAAAAAAAAATATCCCGCATTAGAGTGACCACTTACCCAAAAAAATTTAAGTTTTTTTTTTTCTCTAGATTTAGAGTGAGTTGTTTTTTGAAAAAATTTTTTTTTTTTTGTCAATTTAAAAGATATTAATTTTATTAATTTTTAATAGTTGCTATTAATAATAAACATTTAAAAACTTATTTTTAGTCATTTTTATCGCTACTTTATTTTTTTTGTCCTCTTCTCTTCTGGCAGATTTTTAATGGCAGATTCTGATTCAGATAGTGGTTCGGTTAAGGAGAATCCAGACTTCAAACCCAAACCCGGTATAATCGAACCCATGCACGTGCGTCTCCCAGCTTACTGGCCCAAATCGATCGGTACGTGGTTTAAACATGTCGAGGCCTCTTTCGCAATAAATCGAATTAGCTCAGATCTCAGTAAATACAATTATGTTGTAGCAGCGTTGCCACAAGATGTTGCCGAGTCAATCATGGATGTATTGGAGGATCCCCCAGACAACAACCTGTATAATAATTTAAAGGAAGTATTGACTAGCAGACATTCCATGAGTTTGGAGAGAAGAATTAAGAAATTAATATCGGACGAGGAGATAGGAAACAGACGACCATCAGAGTTTTTCCGTCACTTGAAGCAACTAGCAGGTTCAGCCGCTACACCAGGTGAGGAATTCGTCAAGGAACTTTGGTTGAGTCGTCTTCCACACGTAATAAACATCGCTCTAATTTCGCAAAACGTACAGGATATCCAAACCCTATTAAAAACCGCTGACAAAATTTGGGATGCAATGCAGGATGCTAGATCTGTAGTTGCGCCGATCGCCACAAAGTCTGAGGAGCTCATCAACCAAAACAAAATTGCAAACCTGCAGGAAGAAATTGGCTCCCTTAAGAAAATAATCGCTGAATTAAAAATTGGAGATGCTGGGCATCTTAAGTCGCGAACCCGTTCCAGAGATAGGACTAGAAGTCGCACCCCTAGCAGAAAAAGATTTAGGTCTACTGGCCCTTACTGTTATTTTCATTTTCGATTTGGAAAAAATGCCAGGAAGTGTGTTGCACCATGCAAGTATGGAGCAAAATCAACGGATCCAAAAAACTAACGTCACCTACTGTTGGGACGGCCAACAGTTTGGTTTCTTCAACAACAAGCCGTCTTTTCATTAAAGATAGAGAAAACCATTTGAATTTTTTGATCGATACTGGGGCTGACTTGTCCGTGGTACCATTCACCAATTCCTTTTTGAATTGCGGGAAAGATAAAAATATTTTTCTTTCAGCAGCCAACGGTACTAAAATAGATACATACGGAACTAGAGTAATTTCAGTAAATCTAGGCTTGCGTCGTAATTTCACGCATACTTTTGTCGTCGCCCGTGTTAATCGTCCAATTTTTGGTGCTGATTTCTTAGAAAAATTTGGATTGATCGTTGATTTGAAGCAAAGGAAGTTAATAGACCCAGCGACATCCCTTTCAATTAGAGCTTCGGTGGTGTCAGTGGATACTCCAACCCCTATAACTTACTCTTTGGCGAATGATTTTGGCAAACTTTTGAAGGAATTCCCAGGTCTAACAGCTTTACCCAATTTTGCCCACGTATCGCAACATTCCGTTGTCCATAACATACTTACCGAAGGTCCATTACCATTTTCCAAACCTAGAAGACTAAATCATGAAAAACATAGAATCGCAAAGAAAGAATTCGAACACATGATACAATTAGGGATCTGTAGGCTCTCGTCATCGTCTGTATCATCCCCATTACAATTAGTGCCGAAGAAGGACTCTGTAGATTGGCGTCACTGCGGAGACTACCGCAGATTGAACGCGGTAACGGTGCTTGACAGGTATTCTATACCCCACATACAGGATTTCAGCGCAAGGCTACACGGATGCACAATATTTTTCAAAATCGATTTGGTCAGAGCATATCATCAAATACCCGTGGCTCCAGAAGATGTCCACAAAACCGCAATTATAACACCATTCGGATTGTTTGAATTTCCCAGCATGAGCTTCGGCTTAAGGAACGCGGCTCAAACTTTCCAACGTTTTATGAACCAGGTGTTATTTGGATTAGATTTCGCATTCGTTTACATAGATGATATTCTAGTTGCCAGTAGAGATTTTTCGGAACACCTAAATTATGTTAGGACTGTTTTCCAGAGGCTAGCAAAGTTTGGTTTAACTATTAAACGAAATAAATGTGTTCTAGGCATAAAGACTCTAGATTTTCTTGGTCATACTGTTACTAGTGAAGGCATTAGGCCATCCAGCGGGAGGTGTCGTGCCATTCGTGATTTCGCCCCACCTCAATCAATCAAACAGACTCAGCGTTTTGTGGGAATGGTAAATTACTACCACCGGTTTATCCCAAATCTCGCCGAATTACTGACACCTATCTATTCGCATCTAACAGCCTTACAGAAACTAAAGAAATCTTCTAAAATCGAGTTCACGTGGCCTGAAGAGTGTAATGTTTCATTCGAAAAGATAAAGGAGGCCCTAGCGTCAGCATCGCTTCTAGTGCACCCACGCGATGATGCGACGTTCAGCATTACCGCGGATGCATCAAATTTTGCTGTTGGCGTAGTGTTGCAACAATACAATTCGGGCTCCTGGCAACCAATCTCTTTCTTTTCAAAAAATTGTCATCGGCTGAGAATCGTTACTCTGCATTCGACAAGGAATTGTTGGCTATTTATTTGGCCATTAAACACTTCAGGTATTTTGTGGAAGGCAGAAATTTCACCATCTACACCGACCATAAACCGTTAACTCACGTAATGAAGTCGCGCGTTGAGCGAAGTCCGAGGCAAACTAGACATTTGGAGTATATTGCGTAATTTTGCACCGATATTAGACATATAAGCGGCAAAAGTAACGTAGTCGCTGATTATCTTTCACGTGATTTCGAAAACTCACCAATAATTTTGGATTTCAATCTTAGCGATTTTATCCTGAAACAAAAAGAAGATAATACTTTACGGAACTATGCTTCAGATGACTGCAAAACTAACACATTGCAGTTCTCTTACATAGAGGTTCCGTTATCAACAGAGAAATTATTCTGTGAAACTTCAACTGGCAAAAATAGGCCCTGGGTACCAGAACCACTTAGACAACACATTTTTGAGAAATTGCACAATTTGTCCCATCCTGGAGTCCGAGCAACGAGAAAATTGATCGCTGAGCGATATTTTTGGCCAAATATGAACAAGGACGTAGGTTTATGGTCCCGGAGTTGCATCAGTTGCCAGAAGTCGAAGATTACAAGGCATACTAAGTCAGCGACGGATAAAATACCGGTCCCTCCAGGAAGATTTGATCATATACATATGGATTTGGTTGGTCCGCTTCCGCCATCAAACGGTTTCTCCTACATATTGACTATCTTAGACAGATTTTCACGTTGGCCTAAGGCGTATCCAATAGCGGATATGTCAGCTGAAACAGTGGCTTTAACTTTTCTTGCACAATACATTTCACGTTTTGGCGTACCTTCTACAATCACCACGGATCAAGGATCCCAGTTCGAGTCTAAACTTTTCTCAAAGTTGAACAAAATGTTGGGAATTCATAGGACTCGTACGACAGGCTACCACCCCCAATCAAATGGAATGGTGGAGAGGTTCCATAGACAGCTGAAATCGTATTATTTTTTTTAGTTATTTTTTCCCTACTTTCTTTTTAATTTGTAAATTTCAAATTTTTCGCACCCCAACACTTGTATTAAAACGTTTACACTGCAGGGGGAGTACTGTAGCGACGCGAAGAAAAATATTAGGCATGTGAAACACCCCGTATGTAATTATTAGTCTTTAAAGTAATGGTATTATAGTATGCATACATGTATGTACGTTCGTCGCTTTACAACCACATTTTAGTTTAATATGAGATGCAGTTATTCGAGAATTGATTCTCAATAACTGTATTATATAACACGAAATCTTCTGGTATTTTCCAAGAGAATTTTATCATTATTAACTTAATCAGCAAGGTAGAAGGTAGTGATAAAATAAATAAATAATTTAAACCTAAAATAAATAATAAATAATAATTGTTAAAATAATAATAGAAAAATATAAAATAAAATAAAAGAATTATTGAAATAAAAATAATAAAAATAAAAAGAATTAAATAAAGTGTTTTAATAAATAAAAAATAATAGGTGCCGACGACGACCACAGCTTCTACAGGCTGGGCTCTAAAAGAAAAACCAAATCAAAAATTTGAAAAAAAAGACTTTAGATAACGGTAAATTTGAACGGCAATTTTGTTTTTCTAAAGTTTAATTAAAGTATACCGCGCTAGGGAAAGCAAGCCGCTGCCTTTCTGCATTTACAAATTTCAAAAGTGCTTATGGTTTCATTGCAACAAATAGTTAAAAAAGGCCATTTTTAGGGTTTTGGAGAGGTATAACTTCTAGAGGGGGGAGATAGGTAAAAATTTTGTTCTACGGAAATAAGTTTCTAGTAAAGATCTATGGACATACAAAATTTCAGCTTTCTATCTTCAAGGGTGTAGAAGTTTTGTAAACAGACACACGTACAGACGGACGGACGGACGGACGGTCGGACGGACGGACGGTCGGACGGACGAACGGACGGACGGACGGACGGACGGACGGACGGTCGGACGGACGGACGGACAGAGTGAAACTAATAAGCACTTTTTTTCAAAAATTTTTTGGAAAGACGGACGGACAGAGTGAAACTAATAAGCACTTTTTTTCAAAAATTTTTTGGAAAAGTGCTAAAAATTAGCAAACACAATACTATGCTACAAAACGAGCTAAAACAAAAAAATAATTATATAAATGAATTATAACAAACTACAAATTATTCTCATCAGGGAATTAAGAATGAAAATTTTCAATTAGAGCCTCGGAAAACCCTCTACCAATAACTATATTTACTATTAATAATAAAAAAAATAAAATGTTTTATTGATACCGGTGCTACTACCTCTGTTATTAGCGATAACCTATTTCCTGAAATAAAAAGAACAAAATTAAAAGAACCTTTAAAGATATCTACACTATTTGGTACTAATAAAATTTTCTATACATTAATTACTGATGTGCCAATTGAGTTCAACCATGAAGCTCAAATGGTTTGGAAAGTTTTAGATCTAAAAAGTAACAAATTTGACGCAATTTTGGGACAGAACATATTAGAAGCAGTAGGTGCAAAAATAGATTTGGGATTAGAAACGATAGAAATTATGGGAAGGCAAACAAAATTTCAAAATTCCTGCCCATATAACGATATAGTAGAACTAAACCCTATAAATTTAAAATCTTGCAGCATTCTTAATTATATAAAAACAAATCACCTCAACAACGAAGAATATAAAATATTGAAAAAAATTATATGTTCAAATAAAGATTTATTTTATCAGGATGGTCAGAAACTAACTAATATAAATTGTATATCTATTCAAAAATATATAGGTTTCCCAAAATTCACGAGCAAGTGGTAGAAACTCAGGTAAGGGAGATGCTATCTCAAGGTATCATTAAACATAGTAATTCTCCTTACAACTCACCTATTTGGGTTGTACCAAAAAAATTAGATCAGTCTGGTAGCCAAAAGTGGAGAATCGTTGTTGATTATAGAAAATTAAATGACATAACTATTGAAGATAAATTCCCTATTCCGAACATTGAGTCACTCTTTGATAAGTTAGGCAAAGCCCAATATTTCACCACTCTCGATCTCGCTGAAGGATTTCATCAGATCCTTGTAGATGAAAAAGATCAACAAAAGACGGCCTTCTCAACTCCCCAAGGCCACTACGAATTTGTTAGGATGCCATTTGGATTAAAGAATGCTCCTGCAACATTTCAAAGAATGATTAACCATGTTTAACGCGATATTATAAACGTTAACTGTGTTGTATATCTTGACGATATATTAATATTCAGTACTTCTCTTCAAGAACATGAAAACGCTATTACAAAAATTTTCGAGAGACTTAGAAGCTTTAATTTAAAAATTCAAATAGATAAATGTCTATTTTTTTCCAAGGAGTCGGAATATTTAGGGCATCTTCTCACCGATAAAGGAATTAAACCTAATCCGAAAAAAATTGAAATTATTAAAAATCTTAAATTACCTAATACTCGTAAATCAATAAAAAGTTTTCTAGGCATTACGGAGTATTATCTTAAATTTATAAGGGATTATGCAAAAATTGCTAAACCCTTAACTTACTGCTTAAAAAAGAATAATAAAATCGAAATTGATAATCCGAAGTACATCGCTGCCTTCGAAAAATTAAAGCTATAATAAGTTCCAATATTAAAATATCCTAATTTTAACCAAAAGTTTACATTGACTACTGATGCAAGCGACTTTGCTATTGGAGCTGTTTTATCGCAAAACGGACATCCTATATAGTTTGCAAGTAGAACGTTAAAAGATCATGAAACACGCTATAGCACTATCGAGAAAGAGCTACTAGCGATCGTCTGGGCTACGAAATATTTTAGACCCTATATTTATGGTGTTAGATTTACAATAAAAACAGACCATAGACCCTTGTTAATTTGGTTAAACTCTTTAAAAGAACCCAACTCCAAATTACAAAGATAGAGAATAAAATTAAATTAATTCAATTTCGATATAGAATACGTGAAGGGCAAAGATAATAAAGTTGCCGATTTCCTAAGTAGAATTAACTCTTAAAAAAATGAAATTAATATATTGCAACCTAATGATGAGTTGGAAATTAAAACCGATATAGCTACAATTCATAGTGGCGTCGAAGATTTGGACGACCACATTCCGATTGTAGAAAATATCGTTAATAAATATTTAAAACAGATTCACCTTGTTAAAAATAAAACCAGCGAAATAATAGTAAAATATAATAAATATTATAAAATTTTTATATCTGAACAAGATTTATGCAATGTAAATTACTTAAACGATATTTTGAGGAAAACAATAAAAGAGGGTATAACTGCAATTTACTCCGAATTAGATTATAGTAAATTTAATATTTTACAGAAAAAATTAATTGAATTGTTTGGTAATAATAGAAAAATTAAATTAATTAAATGTACTAAATTAGCTCAAGATGTCGAAAATGAGGATGATCTCATTAATATTATAAAAGATTTTCACGAAAAAACTAATCATTGTGGAATATTAGAAAATTTTAATGAAGTCAAATATCGTTATTTCTATCCAAAATTAAAAGATTTTATTTATAAGTTCGTAAATAATTGCGACGTTTGTAATTTAGCTAAATACGATAGAAAACCTATCAAATATAATTTTAATATAACCGAAACACCTTCTGAGCCAAATCAATTAGTTCATGTCGATACTTATTATTTAAAAAAAGATGTATTTTTGACCACAATTGATAAGTTCACGAAACATCTTTATATTGGCAAATTAAATGATAGAAATAGTGTAACATTAGTTTAGGCCCTAAGACAAAGAAATTCATCATTTGGTAAGCCTTTAAAATATATTTTTGACAATGAGTTTGATAATTTAAATATTAAAGACAATTGTAGACTTGAAAATATTGAAGTTCACTTCACTTCGCCTAGAAGTCATACAGGAAATTCAGATATAGAAAGGGCTCATGGAACTATTATTGAACATATTAGAATATTATCCTTAACGGACCCAAATTTAGATACAGAAAACAAAATTCTAAAAGCTGTAGAAGCTTATAATAAATCTATTCATTCGGTAACTAAAATTAAACCAATAGATTTTATTAATAATAGAATTTCAAATCTTCAAGAAATTAAAGATAGGTTACATCAAAATAAAGAAAAAATTATTACTAAATTGAATAAAGATAGAATACAATTCGAAATTCCAAATGAATCGGAAATATTAATAAAAAATCCGGCTATAGTTCGTTATAAAGAACACCCTCGCTACATGAAAATTAAAGTGAAAAAATACACAAATAAAATCACTGATATTAACAATAAAAATTTACACCCTACCAGAAGTAACAGAAAGTATAAATTCTTTTCAGGTAATCCATCATATTAAAGTCATCTTTAGAATACTTTTTCAAATTACTATAATCGCCTCCATGATTTTACCGAGTAGTACTGCAATTATCACATTAGAAAAGCTCTGAACAAAACACCCATAATTTAACAACAAATTATAATAACCAAATAAAAATTAACGACAACATTCAGAACAATCTTAATATTTTACAGAAAACTATAAACAAAAATCACATATTAATTGACAAAATTTTAAATGATGTTTCAATGGAAAATAAAAATATAACCAAACAATTGCAATACTTGCAGATACTTACCAATATTAACCTTTTAAACGACGAAATTGAGAAAATCCAAGAAAACGTAATCTTCTCCAAATACCGAATAATAAGTAGATCAATCTTAACACCAGAGGAAATAGATCTTTATTAACAACAACAAATGATAATAAATTAGTATTTGTTTTGGCAATACCAGTTTTAAGCACCGAAAAAGCTATTAAATACAAAATATTTGGATTACCAAATACTAACTTTGAACTAGTTGTTGTTCCAAGTTCTGATATTATATCTTTCAAAAATAAAACATATTATCTTATCCAGGAGAGATATATAAGAAAATTGCAATTAACTTCAAATTTAATTGCAATTCAAACCTTTTTATAATGTCATATGATAATTGTTCTAAAACTACTGAAAAAGTTACAAGATAGAAGAAATAAATAAAGGTATGATTTTAATAATAAATGCTCAAAACCATACTTTAAAGAGCGATTGTAATGATATAACATATTTACTAAATAAAAATTATATAATTTACTTTAACAATTGTACTATTGAAATAAACAATATTAAATTTTCAAACAAAAATAAAGAGTTTAAGTATAATATCGTTATTCCGAATTATACCACAATTAAAAATATTAATAATACAATTAAATTAGGGGATTTAAATCTAAAGCAATTAGAAAATAAAAATGAAATTCATGAAATTAAAAATAAAAGAAATTTTAATGAAAATTTAACATATGTATTTTAATACAATTTTTGTAATAATAATGCTTTTTATTTTAATCATTTTAAGTTATATGTTAATTAAAGCAAGAAAAGAAAAACCTTTAAAGAATATAAATAAAAGTGATCCTCAATGTTTTGTTCAGGAGAACAAAAATCTTAAGGATGGGGGAGTTATATATCCGACCAATTTTATCCAGAATAATAGAACTAAACTCTATTAGTCCTAAAAGTAATAAAATATAAAATTTATTATATGATTCTTAAACAATTATATGATCAATTAAAATATTATATGATCAACTTAAACAATTTTATGACTTATTTAAATTCAAACATAAGAATAATAATTTCTGATTTCTTCTTTTTTATTATTCTTATTATTATTTCTTAAGTACTTTACCTATCCTAATTTTGAACAAACAATTAAAATATAAAAAATTAAATTTCAACACATTTATTTTTCAAGTTCATTAACTGAAATATTAAATTACATTAAAACGCAAACATGAAATTATTTTTTTTGTTCGTTAAAATTGCAGGATCATATTACAAAACGGCAAAATAAAATTTCACAATTTCCTTTTCAAGTACAACAAACAAAATTTATTGCTTTTGGAAAGAAGAATATTACGTAAATTATATTTTTTTTTTGTTTTAATAAATTAATGTTACTATGTAAAAAATTGAACAAAAATCGATTTGATTTTTGAATACTTTTATAATAAGATTTTAGAAAGTAAAGAGTTTAGTTTAAGTTTTGGTTTCATCGAGTTTAGTAATAAAAGATTAAATAAAAGAATAAAATAAATTCTTTTTATTTGTTTCTTTTTCTAATACTTAAAAAAGTAACATACAAAACTTGCATACACCTTTTTTTTCTTTATCAATTACTTTATTTCTATGTCACTACCTGACACTGTGTATCTACTGTACCAGGTACATGAACGTGTACATTCATACATGAAATTTCAAACTCTTTTGTTTTCATACATTCGAATTTTAATAAAATCAAAAATAAATTTTGTTATCAAAATAAAAATAACAAAATTTTTACCTAACTTAATTGAGTTTTATTTCAGTTCAATGTTTTTGATACACTCGTTTGATACACACAATATTTTGTTTCTTTCTTGCCTACACAACTCTTATTGCCATCTTTTTCTAAAAAAAAAATGGAATATTTTAAGAATTTGGAAGCAAGATGTAAACGAAAACTAACGGAATGGAACGAGTCGAATTACTTATTAGTAGATATACTTTGGTTGGAATATCCTCAAAATCCAATGGCAGTCAATGGAAGATCGAGCTTGTCTTCCATTAACTTTACTAGAAGCTCAAATTGTTTCATATTTATTTTTCTTTTCTTTCTGTAAAATGCAAACATCCCAATTATCAATATAAAAATTAATGCAGTAAAATTTTTACTATAAGGTGCCTGTTACACATCAGATTAAATCTACGATTAAATCTAAACCTGATGAAAATCTGATGTGTAATCGAAATCTGACATCAGATTAAATCTGATGAAAAAAATAGAAAACTATCCGATTATCATCAGATTATTTTGACAGCATTTGAAAAAAAAATGGCGTAATCTAAATTTTTTAAAAATTTTTACTGTGATCAGCTGATTTAATTTTTTGAATTTTTGAATTATTGACGTTTGAATGTTTTTTTAACTTTTGAATACAGGTTGCTATGAAGTTTTTGGTATATGTAGTTATAAAAAAAGAAGGTTTTTGTTTTTTAATTAAATTGTGTGTTTGAATTCTTGAAGTAAAAAGCCCGTTTATCTCGAAAGAAGGAATTTATGAAGTTAGAATATGAGCACCATGAATAAGAAACTAGCTGGTGAAAATTTAATTGAATTTATCAATTTTTACAGAGAGCAGGAATGCTTATGGAATATATATTCAAAGAATTACAAAAACATATTTTTAAAAAATAAAGCATATAATTTAATGGCAAAAAAATTTAAAATTGGTCCTCAAGAAGTTAAAACAAAAATAAATAATCTGCGGTCAAACTTCAATAGGGAGTTCAAAAAGGTATATTATAATTTTATGTGCTTTTTTGTCCACGCTTTTGTGTACACGTTATTTGGTTTTAGTGTGAAGATTCTAAAAGAAGTGGAGCTGGCGTAGAAGACATTTATGTTCCACAGATTTATTGGTATGATGAAATGCTTTTCTTAAAAGATTGCATAACGCCAAGAGCTAGTGTATCAAATGTAAGTCTTCCTTTTTTCAAATGATTTTTTATTGCTAGTTTAAACATTACAAACACTCATGATTCTCTGATAGAATTTATAATATGTATTGTTAACCGTGCCTGTACATGTGTATATCTATACAATTCTAAAGACAACTTACATAAAAAAACAAAATTAAAACATTTAGTTTTTTATTACAAAATTTTAAATAAATTTTAAATAAATTTTAAATTTTTAGTTTTAATTTCCAACTCTAAATTCAAGACAATATGTGCCATTGAAAGTCAACAGCTCCTTCATTCATGAAGTAATCTGCAAATTCACTTTTAATTTCACTTGCTTCCTGTGAGCTACGGTTGCTTCCTTGTAGAGAAATATTGCTTAATGAGTTGTTTTCATTACAAGAATTTATGGCTCCAATAGACGAATCGTGGGAATTCAAAAAATTGTGTAAAACACAAGTAGCCAATACAATGTTTTCAATATTTTCTAATTTTAAGTCGATCGGTTGATTGAAAATTTTAAATCTTGAGACTAAACGTCCAAATGTACGCTCCACCACATTTCTGCAGTGTGAAAGGCGAAAATTGAAAATTTTTTCTTTAGAAGTAGTTTTTGCTTTAGGAAAACTTCTTAAAACATGTCTGGACAAAGCGAATGCATGATCACCTATAATCACATGTGGTATAGGTTTAACTCTCCCTGGCAGAGGCTTTTCTTTGGGTAAGTTTAAAGTTTTGTCATGCAATGCTCTGAATAATGATGAGTTCTTTAAAATACCTCCATCAGATATTCTACCATTGCATCCCACATCGACATATAAAAAATTTCCTTTTGCATCTACCATTGCTAAAAGTACAATGCTGAATCGACCCTTGTAGTTGAAAAAGTATGATCCAGAATTGGGAGGGTTTTGAATATAAATGTGCTTTCCATCTATTGCCCCTATAGTGTTTGGAAAATGTAATAATTGCAAAAACTCTTCTTCAATTTTTTGTCAAGCATCTTGAGTATCAGGCATCTAAAAAAACTTATTAAATAAATGAATAGTAACATAGAAAAAATTTATATTTCAGATTGAATTGGATTTTTCCGATAACGATTCAGTTACATGTTCTCCAGCAACAACGCACGAAAACGAACCGCCACGACCTTCAATAAGCAGGAAAAGAAAGCACCAGTATGAGCCGAAAAACACTCACTTGGATGATGCTTTAAAAAATTTAAAAGAAATTTGTGAAAAGTCAGTAGACGAAATTGACGAATTTTGCAAAAATTTAGCGGCCCAATTAAAAACATTGCCCAAGATAGATGTTTATGAGTTAATGGCAATGTTTCAAAATGAATTGTCACAGAGAAAAATCGAAAAAGAAAGAGGAAAACAAGATATAATAAATCTGGCATTCAGTGAAGCTATAATGTAACTACATACATATTAAAAATATCAATGTTATTAAGACTGAGAACGAAAGTTTATGTTTTAGTTTTAAGACTTACATACACATGTATGTAAAGTGTAATGGAGTTTTTATTTTCAATATTTTTTGTTATGTTAATTATGATGTTACATGTTTTACGTTTTATTTTAGTCAGTTATGAATTAAATTAGTTTTGAGAAAAATATATTGTTTCAGTAATTTTTACACTTACTTTTAAATATTTATTTTTTAGCTGTTCGTAAATAACTTTTATAACTTCAGGAACAAAAAGTGATATTGTAGATCTCGAAACTCTACTTAAATATTCCATAGAAACATAAGAATCTCCACTTGCAATAAAACGTAATGTTATTGCAAGTTTTACTTTTGAGATGGATTCTCTCATATGGGTATTTTTTTTTTATTTTCCTTTCAATCTAAAAAAGAAAATACATGGAACTTTGGTTTTTTTTCACAAAATGTCACGTAGCTTACACTATGATGCAACCGTTCAAATGCATCCCACGATATTCTAGTAAAATTTTTAAAACTTCCGTCATTATTCAGTAATAAATCTGCGATAAGTTTTGATTCTACGTCATGAAACGATCGTTTGCTCAAGGAAGTTTTGACCCATATTTTTCCTTTCCTACTTCTATTTTGATTAATATTCTCGTCTTCCTCTATAAGGCATGCTAGGACTCCCGCTGCAGCTATCAAAACTTTGTTGTTGCTCATCACTATTAAACTTTGTAAGTACATAAAATAATATTAATTTATTATTCCTATGCAACTACACATTCAATTTTTTAAAAATTATATTGCTTTGAATAATATAATATAGTCACGAATGTTAATTGGTAAGTAAACACACAAATATTAAAAACGTTTGCTGTCAAATGGTTGACATAAAGGTTTAAAAATAATCTGATGTGTAAATACTCATCAGATTTTATCGTAGATTAAATCGTAGATTTAGTCTGATGTGTAACTGGTACCTAATATTAACTAAAAATAAATTTTACTGTAAAATTTATACAAAATATCTCGACGTAATGGCCTAGGTATAAGTTGCCAAATGATAAACGTTTTTTAAGCTATGTAATGATTACATAGGAATTTCCATTAGAGAAAAAAGAAGAAATTGACTCATTTCCAGTTTTTTAGCGTATCTATGATTTGGATTCCTTTGTTCCTAAATAACTCGATGATTCTTTGATTTACCATTCATTATTTTAGGAAAAAAGTCAAAATTCGTAATGAGATTACTAGAAAATATTCTTCAAAAGAATAATATTATACAGGAATGAAACTTAATTGTATATTATAATATTCTATAACATGTACATATGTATGTACATATGTATGTTTATAAAAAAAAAATATTTTTAATACAAAATAAAATAAAAAAGTATTTGTTCTATAGGAAGAAGATAATACAAATTTTTAAAGTTCTTGTAATATTATTTTGGGTCCGCGTTATATTTATGTATTGGTTTTCCAATATATAAATATAATGTCAATATAAGATATAGATATCTATTGGTCAATAGTATTGAGTAATATTATAGGGGTCAAAGGTCGCTAATGAATGTTTTTTATTATTCAAAAGTCCTGAGTCCCTAATCTACTTTAAGAGAATAAATAAAACAATTGAAATGTTTAGTTTAAACTCTAGTTATAGCCTGCACTTTCGCGAAGAGTATATTCACTTTGGTATGGAGTTTATAACCATTTGAAGGTGTCGTCTCCGGTGTGGACATGTATATAAATTCTTGCTCAGAGTAAAATTCTGCGTTGTTTTAGCCATATCCGTCCGTCCTATCGCACGATAACTCAAAAAAGAATAATACAACCGAAATCAAACTTTTCGATGCCCGATCTTTTCACCCAAAGAAAAACGTACGCTTTTCTTATACATTGTCATATATATGTTGCCAGAAGCAACCGATAAAATGAACTAGCATATATTTTTAGTAATAAAGTTCTAGTTATCAAGTTTTTTTCCTAAAATGCAGCATAAAAATGCTAAGTTTTTAATGATGTGGTAACGTTTTATAAAAATGAACATTTGCACAGAACTTTAAATTGAAATTTTCAAATAAATGTCATAGTTGTATTGATATGGTAAAAATTGTATTCCAAAATGTAAGAAAAGCTTTAGTAGTTTGTTTTACAATGTAAAGGTATTGAAAGCTCTGAGACGGTACTACTAATGTCTTTATATCTAACAAGTCCCAATGCTCAGAGAGAAACTTGAAAGCACGACCTTATTTTATATGGGTTTTTTTAAATCGAAGTGGCTATTTTTTGAGAAGAAATATTAAAATAAATTCACACTTATTATAAAGCAGGTAAAATTTAGAAAATATATTTGAAAAATCAAAAAAATATATTAATATTTTCATTGATAATTATTTTAAAATTTAAAAAAAAAAAACGGAAAAACAACAAGCACATCTTTCGACTTCAACGTTTTATATGTTACTGAAAGCATTTCATTATTTTTAAGTGAACAGCTTTTTTTTCTCATAGGGTAAATTAACTCAAGATATGGGGAGTAACTTTGGTGTCAAGTTGAAAATATAATTATTGAAAGATAATTATTGAATATTGATATTAATACATAGTAAAGAAAAAATTTGAAGAGTGAATTAGAAAATAATATCTAAAATACAATCAAATATTATTTGTTAAATACAAATTTTATATAAACTTCAAAATTTTACCTCCATTTTTAGTTGAAAAAATATTAAAAACTTACTATCATTTAAAAAAATATTTAAAATGTTTGGAAAAAACAATCATTTATTTTTATGACCGGATTTGAATATTTTTTTTATTTTTGAAATAAATGGTATTTTACCAAATGACTCAAAAATTCCGACTGTAAAATAACAGGTATTTTAAAATTTTTGTTCTTTATGTAATGTTCTTTCCGTTTAGAATTAAGATAGGTCATACATACACATGCAGGGACATTTTATAAATAGATTGCTCTTGTTTACCTGTTAATAAAATATGAAAAAATAGCACAGCAAAATTTTTGAAGCACTCAATATAACATGTTTGAAATAGTTTTAAAATAATTATTTAAAAAAAAATTATTGGAAGTAGGTACATACATATTTATTATTAATAACTTAAAAACTAACTGAAATTATTTGAAACAATTTTATAAGTAACGTATAAATAACCGAAATAAGATAATTAAAATTGTTGAAATGTGTCAACCTATATTACTTTTAATAACATTTTTGTTAGCCGACACTACTCAACTTACCTTATTGGGAAATACAAAATGTACATGAAAAAACATACATCCTTCCTCATTAACATTTGAAACCATACTGAAATATGAATTTCAAATTTTTTTTCATTTTATCTTCCCTAGGAGGAAAGAAAAAATGAAAATTTGTATTTAACAAATAATATTTGATTGTATTTTAGATATTATTTTCTAATTCCCTCTTCAAATTTTTTCTTTACTATGTATTTATATCAATATTTAAGAATTATCTTTCATTAATTATATTTTCAACTTGACACCACAGGTACTTCCCATATCTTGCGTTAACTTACCCTATGAGAAAAAAAGCTGTTCACTTAAAAATAATGAAATGCTTTCAGTAACAAATAAAACGTTGAAGGCGAAGGTTGTGTTTGTTGTTTTTCCGCTTTTTTTTAAATTTTAAAATAATGTCTTTATATCTAACAAGTCCCAATGCTCAGAGAGAAACTTGAAAGCACACCTTATTTTATATGGCCTTTTTTAAATCGAAGTGGCTATTTTTTGAGAAGAAATATTGAAATAAATTGACACTTATTATAAAGCAGGTAAAATTTAGAACATATATTTGAAAAATCAAAAAAATACATTAATATTTTCATTGATAATTATTTTAAAATTTAAAAAAAAAAGCGGAAAAACAACAAACACAACCTTCGCCTTCAACGTTTTATTTGTTACTGAAAGCATTTCATTATTTTTAAGTCAACAGCTTTTTTTTCTCATACGGTAAGTTAACGCAAGATATGGGAAGTACCTGTGGTGTCAAATAAATAAAATATAATTAATGAAAGATAATTCTTAAATATTGATATAAATACATAGTAAAGAAAAAATTTGAAGAGGGAATTAGAAAATAATATCTAAAATACAATCAAATATTATTTGTTAAATACAAATTTTATATAAACTTCAAAATTTTACCTCTATTTTTATTTGAAAAAATATTAAAAACTTACTATCATTTATATCAATTACCTAAGAAAAAAAAATATTTAAAATGTTTGGAAAAAACAATCATATATTTTTATGACCGGATTTGAATATTTTTCTATTTTTGAAATAAATGGTATTTTACCAAATGACTCGAAAATTCCGACTGTAAAATAACAGGTATTTTAAAATTTTTGTTCAGGTATTTTAAAATTCTTTCCGTTTAGAATTAAGATAGGTCATACATACACATGCAGGGACATTTTATAAATAGATTGCTCTTGTTTACCTGCTAATAAAATATGAAAAAAGAGCACAGCAAAATTTTTGAACCACTCAATATAACATGTTTGAAATAGTTTTAAAATAATTATTTAAAAAAAAATTTATTGGAAGTAGGTACGTACATATTTATTTTTAATAACTTAAAAACTAACTGAAATTATTTGAAACAATTTTATAAGTAACGTATGAATAATCGAAGTGAGATAATTCAAATTGTTGAAATGTGTCAACCTATATTACTTTTAATAACATTTTTGTTAGCCGACACTACTCAACTTACCTTATTGGGAAATACAAAATGTGCATAAAAAATCATACATCCTTCCTCATTAACATTTGAAACCATACTGAAATATGAATTTGAAATTTTTTTTCATTTTTTCTTTCCTCCTACCTTTCTTTCTTTTTCGTACAATAGAATTTAAATGGGAAGCTTTTTAAAAAATGTGTATAATATCCTGAGATTTTTTAAAATATTAATCTCTTTTTTACGTAAAAAAAAAGAAAAAAATAATAAAAAATATGACACGATCAGTGGCATTTAAAGAAAAAACCAACAACGAGGCCAAAAATTCGTAACATTTCGTAAAAAAAATTGAATATTGGGACTTGTTAGATATAAAGACATTATTTAAAATAATTATCAATGAAAATATTAATGTATTTTTTTGATTTTTCAAATATATGTTCTAAATTTTACCTGCTTTATAATAAGTGTGAATTTATTTTAATATTTCTTCTAAAAAAATAGCCACTTCGATTTAAAAAAGGCCATATAAAATAAGGTGTGCTTTCAAGTTTCTCTCTGAGCATTGGGACTTGTTAGATATAAAGACATTACTCCTACCTTTCTTTCTTTTTCGTGCAACAGAATTTTAATGGGAAGCTTTTTAAAAAATGTGTATAATATCCTGAGATTTTTTAAAATATTAAACTGTTTTTTACTCAAAAAAAAAAGAAAAAAATAATAAAAAATATGATACGATCAGTGGCATTTAAAGAAAAAACCAACAACGAAGCCAAAAATTCGTAATATTTCGTAAAAAAAATTGAGTATTGGGACTTGTTAGATATAAAGACATTACTACAACAGTATTAATACCGTACTTAAACCTTTTTTGAAGCATTATTGAAGTCACGGATACTTTTTTTATTTTTTTTCGTTGTTATGTTACTGCCAAGAGGCATCACAAATACTCCACTTCAAATAAAGGTCATTCGAGTTTTGGTAGATGTTGGTTGAGGAACACTTCTCAGTGTATCAGCATAAGTGATAGGGTCTAACAAATTATGTTTTTTTTCTTCTATTTCTCTAAGGGTTTAACTAACCTTTCCTATAGCACTTCAAATTTCTTCTTTTACTTTTCTTATTCATTCACCATTAACAACTGTGACTTCAAGAGTTGAAAACGTTGGTTTGTTCATAACCTTTTCACCTACCTCCGCAGTTTTTCGCTTTTCAAATTTAATTTTACATGCACTACATAACCACAAAATATACTTCTATGTTGTTGATACTTTAATCTTATTTAAACCATTTTAGAGATTTATCTTATTGGATTGCATAATACAAGTCCTTAGCATTTTTTTACAACTCCTATAACCACATATCTCTAACAGAATCCCAGAGTTAAAGCCTCGGCATGACACGGCGGTAGGTATAATCCATTTGAAACGAAATATAATTATTATAGAATTGCATCTCTAAAAATTTCTGCCTGTTTATATTTTTTTTTCGGTTCTTTACGTTAATGAAATCAAATGCACGTTAATTTAGCAATTCAATTACGTGAAAGTAAGACTAGAAACGTACGGGTTGAAGAAACGCATATAAGCCTTTTGAATTGGTGTAATTGATATGTATACGATTGGGTGTAATAGCAAAGTAAGAATATAAATATGTACATGCATACATATGTATGTGTTTATCTTAACATTTATTCGGATAATAAATAATTATTCTTTTTGGCTAATAAAATAAATATGTATGTACTTACATAGCTTTTTACATTTGCTAGGCATTTTGATAAACTCAATACTGCAAAACAATATTGTTATACATGACTTCATTAACGCGCTTATGACGTAAACTTTACAAAGTATCACATTCCAAAAAGTTTAGTAACAGCTCATGACAATGTACACTTTTCCAAAATGCGTTCTATACGTATTGAATAGGTAAAATAAAAGTAAATAGGGTATCGAAAAAATCGAGCACGCTTTTCTTATACATGTCATAAAAAAGTTGCCAGAAATAACGTTTATTAACATTTGCACAAAATTTTAAATTGAAATTTTTAAACAAGTATGTATTAATTTTTTTTTTAAATCTTTATTTATTATCTCGACCAACTCATGTTACAAATTGACTAAGGATTTATTAATCTCTGATTCCTTGAATCCTCTTAATCTAAGTTTTGATCAGCCAGATCCAGGGGCTTCGTCCTTTTCAAGCGTCGTAAGTCACTGCTACTATTGTTAATTAATCTCTGGATTTCCATGTTGTTGTGGGAGGAGATCCTATTTTTATGTTTGATTGCCGATTTGGTTATTTCGTCTTCGACCAATTCAATTCTTAAATTTTTATGTATATCATAATTTCTCACATACCAAGGTGCATTGACAATGTTTCGAAGCACCTTGTTCTGGAATCTTTGTATAATATTAGTGTTAGTCTTTTTTGCACACCCCCAAAGTTGTATGCCGTATAGCCAAACCTAAAAGCCAATGCAATTTTCTGTACTTTATGTTAAGTTCATCTTTTTTAATTTTTATATGTTCCTTCCACCTCAATTTGGCGTCCAGAGTCATACCCAAGTATTTGGCATTATTTGAGTAAGGTACTATTGCATCATTCACCCGAATAGGTAATTGAATTACTTTTCTATTCGTGAAATTAACAAGTGTAGATTTAGCCTCATTCAGCTTTATCCGCCACTTCCTCGCCCAATTTTCAATTTTATTTATTGATTTTTGTAGAATACAGGCTGCAATATTTGGATCTGAGTTTCTGAAAAGGAGGGCGGTGTCGTCAGCAAATGTTGCCGTTAATACACTGCTATCTTCAGGGATATCCCTTGTATAAATAAGGTACAGTGTAGCCCCAAGCACGCTTCCTTGGGGTACTTCTGCTGCTATGTTTAAGTATGTACTAATATTGTAAAAATTGTATTTCAAAATGTGTTAAGCAATTTTCTTTATAATGTGAAGTTATTGAAAGCTCTGAGACGGTAGTACAAGTCACGGAAAGTCTAATTGCAACTGTCATTTGACAATAAATTTATATAACCAAATGGATTGGAGATTGTGGAGGCCGGCAATTTTTTTAAAATTTAAGGACGCCGATTGTACTTAATGATATATTTGAAACGGTATGGAGTCATTTATGTTAAGGTAACGTTTAATATGAATGCTGATTTTATTTTACAAGTCCTGGTGCTTTTAGTTTTCACCTTACCTAATTTAACGGTAATTAGACAAGTACATAATCAAAACGTTTAATTATATCCAATTAATCAATGTAGTTTTTATAATTTGTTTTCAAAATTCATGTGTAAAAAATGCAAGTATGTATATGTATGTGTATGTTAAAATATGTCTAAGTATATTTTATATAAATGTTACGAAAAATTAAGGAATCGCTAATAATTTACGAAAAGAATTTGCATAAATATTTAGAAGACAAATTTGAGATATGTATGTATGTATGTATATATTTGCAATTAGTATTATCAATATTAAAACTTTTTGCTTAAAATATTATTAACAAGTTAGCTTTAAAACTTCCCTATTTTTTTAAGAAAGCTTTTCTGCAATATTACATGAAAATGTTACTTTATTTAAATTTTTCCCATGGTACTACTTCCCAGGAATTCAAATAACGACGACTAAACAAGAAATCCTTAATTTTGTTGTAAATATAAAAAGATACTGCAAAGAAACTCGCTAAATAAATACATAACAGTCCTAACGCTTCCAATAAACTTAAATAGTATTTTGTAACTACCTCATTAATACTCATTGTAATTTTTATTTTTAATTTCATGTTTAAAAATGATGCTTCCCTATAAGACTTTATACTTTTAAATTCAAAGTAGGCCGGATTTTGCATGATTAATTTTTTGATGCGGTTTATGTTATACGCTTGAGCTTGTTTAGCATTGTCTCTAATTATGTTATTTTCAAAATTTGTTTTATCACGTGCTTCATAAAACGGGCAATAAAATTGAATATTTTGAATTAAATCCAATCTCCCTACTATTTCAATATCGTTATAGTCAAAATTTTTTTCTGGAATTTCTAATTCATGAATTAAAATTGCAGGCGGTTCCAATAAACATTTAAGCTGTAAAAACAATAACAAAGCAGTTGTGAACTACTAAACTCACTTTATATTTTGAAGAATTTTACCTCTAGCCTAGCATTGTAGAAAAATACCAAGTAAAATTTCAATTTATTCGTAAACTTTAACGTGTTATTAAACAATAATTCGATATACGAAAAATCTATCTTGCCATCGTAGTTAGTGTCATAAGTCCAGTGCTGTTATTTAAAAATGTACATACATATATGAACATTTGCACATTATTGAAATTTTATAAAATGTGTAGTTATATAATTACTTTTATTATTGGACATTTTTGAAAATTTTCTGCTAACTTGTTGAAGTACGAAAATGAACTGCAAGTTGTTATTGAATCGTAGTTCATTTCATCACTTGCGTAGATTAAGTAATTGAATTGAAACTCCATCCTTGGTTGCTCATAAAAACTACGAACTGCCGGTAGAACTGCGGAATTTGAGTTTAAAATAAACATTAAACAAAGAGGTAATAGGACAGAAGTTATTAAAAGAAATAAAACCACATAAGAAGAAATTGAAAAAATTGAATCTTTATATTCAATTGAAATACTTTTGTTATGTAAATTTACGAACTTCATCTTAAAAAGTACTATTTATCTGCAATTTTGTTTACAACCCATTTTGTTCCTATGGTTACATTAATTCTAGTGTAGTGTATTTCAACAGTTGTAATCAGGGTTGCACGTGCACCCCATTACAAATTAATAGAATTTCGTACAATTCTAATTTACTTGCATGTGAAAAATTTGGAATTGCTTTTTCGGTATTTTATACAACGAATAAGAAATACTACAGGAAGAGCAATCTTTGTTTCTACCTCGCTTACACTCCCTAAAAAATCGTATCTTAAAAAAAAACATAGTGAAGCCAGAAACTTAAGATAAGTCTCTTTCTTTGCTCCGAGGATTGTCAAACTGAAATTAACATTAAATGCCAAATGTTTTTTTTCTCTTAGAAAATTACGCGTCGCCATATAAAAAATAATCAAAGATTTTGTTTTTTTATTTATAAAATTAGTACAGTTTGTAAACAAAAAATCTTAAAATATTTGATAATTAGTGTTAAAAAAAAATATTATTTTATAAAAACTCATAAAAAAATTATAACATGTGATAAAAAGAAAAAAATTCTTGAAAAAGAAAATGGTGCATAGCTCTAAATTTTTATTTCCATTTGTAAAAACAAATAGTTTTTTTACGCCATATGCATGTGAATATTATTTATTTCAATAATTAATTAAAAGAGATCTTTATTCAATAGTTCTTTGATTAATTCATAATTTCTAATTTTATTAAGTTTTAAGAAAACATATGTTTTTGTTTTGTTTTAAATTAAAATTACTTCTGTTTTTTTTTTTAAGCAAAATGAGTTAGTGTTTGATAAAATGTACTTAGCATACAAAAAAATATTTCAATATTTTTTTTTGTATAATTACAATTTTCCTAGAGATTGTGAAATGAGATATACATATTTACCTTTATAGAGTGAAAATTTGGTCACCAAAAAAAAAAATAAGGACGTCCCCCCGACGGCGTTGAATTCAGGAAGTAAAATAAAATATTAGCGTGAATTATTTATATTTTAAAATATTTTGTTTTAGAATGAATTGGTATGTGAAGCTTAGTTAATGAATAAGGAAGAATACGACAACATACTGCCTACTTCAGTGGGCAATAACTATCATATTAATTAAAATTTGTTAAAATTTATATTGTTTTAGACTCATTAAGTTTTATATATATTCATATTTATTGTTATTAATATTGTTCACAGTTGTTCAGTAAAATTATTAAACAAAACTGAAAATATAAGAAATTTTTTAACAAAATATGTTCATTTTCGAGGGAAAATATTGTGATAATACTTATAAATATTTGCAATTTATAAAATACTTTTCAAAGAGGAAAAAAATAAAACAAGTTAGAAGATAAAATAAAGTTCAAAGAGGAAAAAAAATATAATGAGTGTTGTTTATATTTGTTTTTTTTTTTCACATATATCTAAAATGAAAAAATATTTTGAAATATGAACTTTGAAAATTTTTTTCAACTTATCCTTCTTACAAATTACACATATTTTATAGTAGAGGCCAGAGAAAAAAATAAACAGCCTTATTCTAGTTGTCGAAGTAGAGCGACAATTGTCATTACGACTTGAATTTGATTCTCTAAGCGGCGATCGCAGTGACAATCGTCGGGGAATAGCGGGAAAATGCGTTTCAGCCATATTCTAGTTGTCGTTCTGATGCGGGATATGTCGTAGTGAAACGATGTTTTTTGTTGAAAAGTATTTACAAGTGACAAGAAAGAAGGATACACCGAAAATGCAAGTTAAAACAAAACAATTTAACAAAATCATAAAAAAATTAATTTTATACATAAATCAAGTCATAAAATACATAATTTAATTTTTGTTTTTAGCGTGAAAGTATTTATAAATTTGAATAATTGGAAATTTCATGACAGAGCACGCCTTTTACGGGTACTCGTTTTTCCCTCGAATATATCCAGTAAATATACAAAGGCATTCTTTGGAAGTCTGTAATAGTTTATAAATCTGTGAATAAAATAAACTAATTTACTAGAAAAAATTTGGCAAATCCAATGGATTAGAGCTGTCGTTAATCTGAAATCTTTCGATCCTTAATTGTTGTTTTTTTTTTTAATTTCATCACTACCGGAATGAGATGAATTCGTAAACCATAATGCAAATGACATTTTTTATTATTTAAAAATATAAATATATATACTGAAAATTTTTTTTAGTTTGAAGTTTACTCGCCGAAATTTCTTTTTAAAATGTATCAATTTCACTTGGAACGTTTCATTTTCGATTATTTCTCGCACTCACGTCACACGACAACCAGAATACAGGTCTTTCTGAAAATGCAGTTCTAACTTAGTACTAAATTGCAGCACATTTGTTTAATAAGAACTGCTTCAACTACAAAGCAATGTTTTTAAAAATTCAGAACTGCAGTAGCAGCCATTTTGAAAACTACAACTGCAATTAAGATATTTCAGAAACTTCACGCAACATCGCATTTTTAATTTTCTAACTGCGCTAACTTAAATTGAATATTAAGCAAGATGGACGATGATGATATAGAAGATTTATTAGCGTAAGTTTTTTTTTTTTTTTCTACTTACTGTAAATAAATAAATTCTAATAATTTAAGGAATTTACAAGAAGAAAGATTTGAAATGTGTGCCACTGAGGTTGCAAGTCTTTCAATAATTTCTAAAAAATGTTATGAAACATAAAAGTATGCCACGCATATCATATTTAATTAAAAACATTACCGTAAAACAATCCTTTTCCATCCTAAAGTGTGAAAAATATATATGATTCGGCATCAAACTTATTACTTTCATATAATTCGCAACTTTAGGTATAAGCATTTTGTTATACTTTTGAATGTACATTAAAAGTACCATATTACGCGATTTTTTCTTTCTAATAAAATTTCTTAAACTCTTATCTCGATTTGCTTCTGTAAGATATTCGAATTTATAATTTTTAATTAATTTTTTCCTTAAATCCATTTTTTATGTCTAAAAAATAACAACTTCAATTTTGTACTATTGGTAGAACTGCATTTTCAAATATGACTTAGATAAAGATTTGCAAGAACTTTTTTACTACGACAAAACAAATGACAATTTTTTGCAGTTGTCAATCAATGCGAAAAAGTTTTTTTAGTTTTAAGTTAGAAATGCGTACGCATACTGCGTTTTCAGAAGAACCTTACATTTCAAATGATGCCACAGCGTTAACGACAAATGTCACGTAAGTGACGCGACAACTAGAAAAAGGCTCAAAATAAATACGCTCCTGTCACGGAGCGTAAATCAAAGAAAGGGACAACTAGATAAAAATTTAGCTTCATTGTTTTTTCAAGATCTCCTTCCTTTAGTATTTTTAATTCGTTGAATTTATAACTAATTGCACAATCTAAAATGAAAGGGAATAGTATTGAATCACCAATTTTATAGGGGTAGTACACAAGTTTATATGTTTTTCTTATTATTTTAAAAATTGCGAAATACGTCTAAACACGAAAAAAGGGAAAATCTAGGCTATTTTTCCAGCTAAAAAATTCAAAATTTTCTTACTGAAAAACTTAGTATTTTTAGGATGAGTAAGGTTAATTTACATACAAAAAATTCTACCATTAATACCCTTATTCTGTGAAGCTATATTTTTCAATCTCCGAATGAAAAATATAGCTTTCTGCAAACTACGAAAAATTTTTAATAAGTTCAGAGTGAGTTCTGAACGAAAAGCACTTTCCACAAGCAGAGAAGCCCAATTGAGTGAGAAAGACATGACATATTTACTTTTTCAGCTTGGAATAGAAGCTCAGACTCCGGGACACCGTTAAAAGCTCGAATGAGTCCATAATTTTGTAGAGCCATGTATTGGTAGACGAATGAGTTGTAGTAAGGTTGCGCCTGTTACTTGTGAGATAGTAATGTACTTCTTGGTGAGCTATTAAGATGATATGTTTGATTCAATGGATCTGTAGTGGACTTTATAAATCAATTTTGCCCTCTTAAGAACTATAATTTCAATAAGGCAAAAAAAGTTACATTAATGTAAAGTCGGGCAGAGGACGTTTACAAGTTCATTTTTAAAAGAATTTTTATGGTCCGATTCTCAGCAATTTATGCGTGGAGTTTTATGTGAAAATTTTGAACAACGTTTTAAGGCTCATTATGAGATTTATTTTCTTTAGACTGTATTCCACATGATGTTTTCAGGTAGAACAATAATCAATTACCATACTAAGGTACTTGGATGTTTCTCCTTTTTCATTATGGGAGCTTCCTAAATTATTGAACTCTACTGCTTTGTTTTTATTTTTGAAACAGAGAAAGACAGTGTTATCGGTATTATGAATTTTACTAATACATCATAGTTGTGAAATTAATAAGTATATGCTTATTACACTAATAATTTAACTTAATGGAAATTTCTTCATGCAACTGCAGAACAGATGGATGACGTAATCAAAGGAACGAGTTAAAGGCAGAAAAATTAATTAAAAAATTTTTCTCCTCGAACTGGACTCGAACCAGTGACCTACCGCTTTCTAGGCGGACGCTCTACCAACTGAACTACAGAGACATGAAGAAATTGCCGACGAAATGTTCTCTACATTGCTTATACTGTAATCCACATGATTGCTAAGTATTTGTTTTGTTTACGTGGACTGCTACATACAATCTACTATTGAAACACACAATAACAAGAACATATACATATATTTATAGGATTGTGCCTATTACACTAATTATATTATGATTTTTGATTGATGTGGTGTTCCAGTTCCATGAGATACTAGCCGTAATACATTAAAGCTGTGTCATTCATATAGACAGTATATTTAGTAGATAAACCCACATATTTTAGATTGCTTATGTAGATACCAGATATTTTAGATTGCTTATGCAGAGGAGGTATAAAAAGTGTCCTAGGGTTTTACCATTAGATAGTCCACCACACAAAAATAGTGAATTGCTTATTGTACCATTTATGCTGGTTTGAACAGGGTGCCATTGCTTTTGTCTAGGTATGAGTTGAGTGAGTTAATTGTTTCTACAACCACTGATTTAGTGCTGCTGTATGGAATAGAGCTTAACTGGTTTCTGCCAAAGCTTGTAGTACGCTGAATGAAGCTCCTCAGTTTCAAATAGATGATTTTTTCCAATATTTTGCTTTACCGGTTCGCCTTGTTTATGGATGTATGTTTGAGGACTTCTAAGAAAGTACCTGAGATCCTCAAGGCAATCGTTTGCTAACTAAATTAGATTGGGCATGATGATTTCGATGATCATTTTGATATCTTTGTTAGTTATATTATCAACACCAGGAGCTAAAGCATCCTTGAGCTTTGAAATTATTGCTGTCTGTCCAATGACCGAAGTCGAATTATAAAAGACAGAACTTACAATAGAAAGATTCTTAGTTCTTGGTACACTGAGTTTTCTAGTTAAATGGTGATGGCTCACCTGGTTTAAGTAGATATTAAATACATTAGCAATTTGATTGCTATCGGTGTACATATGTATAAGGTATCCTGGTGAGATATTTGTGCAATTTTCTGTCTAAATTTTTCACAACTTCTCGGACCGGATATTTCTTCTGATTAGTTGTCATTGTTTGGTACAATTACCATTGGTTGAATTAATTTTCCGATTTATGTATTCTGTCTTAATTTTTTTATCAAACTTTTCACTTGTTTTTTCTTTTTTTACTCTGCACTTTTGGTAGGGGTATATTCACTTTGGTATGCAGTTTGTAACCACTTGATGGAGACTTGATGACATGTATATATGTATATTCTCCGTGCGTTCTATCGCATGATAATTCAAGTTGTTGCTTTTTTGCCAAAGACGGCTGTGCCAATACTGACAACGGGTTCGGGTAGCCGCCATACAACTATGAAAGCTTATTTTAAATATTTCGAAAAATAATTCATAAAAAGTTGGCAATAGTGCGTCCAGTTTCAGGTCAGATGTAACCCTGAAATTTTGGTAGAGTGGTCCCACAGGCTCTGGTAGCTACCATAAAGGTCCAAAATTTAATTTAAAATATTTACAAATATAAGAGTTAAATTCATCCTTGAAGTTTTGGTGGAAAGAGTTGACAGATTCTGGTAGCTGCCACGTAACTCCAAAAGAAAATATTTGGAAAAATATTAAAGCTAGATTCATGAAACTTGGCAACCTTGTGTCCACTTATAGGTCGCACATAACATCTGGGAAGTTTCGAGTTATTGCCAAGGATCTGGAAAAGATACGAGTAATTGCCTATGAAAGCTAATTGTGGATATTTCAAAAATAAATTTTTAAGCGCAGATTGTAAAAGTGCAGCGTTCTTATTCTTTCAGTTTATACCAACTGAAACGTTTTTACTTATTTATTACTTACATTTTGAAAAATCTATCTGATGTAATTTTTTTATTGAAATAAAAATTATTTGATACTTACATACATACATACATGTACTTTCGGAATTCAAAGCATTCGAACTGGTAAAAATCTAATTCTTCTCTCCTTTTATTTTTAAATTTTGTACGAAATTTTTTGAAACTTCGAATTTTTTTTACAGGATTTTTACCACTTTCTAAAGCTTTACTTTAGTCATTAATTGTTAAAAAATCTTGTTTGGTATATAGAAAATAGAAGAAAAAAAATTTAATTATAAATTCTTTGATATTGTGCGGTTTGCAATCAAATGTTATATACCTATTGATAATTTTGTAAAAAAATAAAAGCAATTTTGTAGAACCATGAATTAAATCTTGTCTTGAATATAGGATTTGTCGCTTTATATATCTTGTCGCTTATAATTTAATTCATCCGCTAGATGTTCATTGTCATACTGTTTAAAAATCCCACTGATCTTAATTTGAGGTAATCTGGATTTGTTCAGAAAAATTTCATAGCTTAACCCCAAAGCTAATTTTGTCTCCTCAAGTAACCTGGGTATATCATCTGCAAAGGTTGTGCCAATTAGCGCGTCCCCCGGCCGTCACAAGAGACATACTCTCTTTAATTTTTTTTTGTTTCTTCGTATTTTATGTTAATGTCAAGAGGCATCGCAAATACTCCACTTGAAATAAAGAGCTTGTGAGTTCTGGTAGCTGCTGTCATAGTTTATCAGTATATCAGCATAAGTGATAAGGTCTGAGAGATTATGTTTTTTTTTCTTCCATTTCTTTAAGGGTGCAAGTAACCTTCCTTCCAATTTCTTCTTTTACTTTTCTTATTCACTCACCATTAACAAGTATCTATTTTTTAATGAGTTCAAGAGTTGAAGACATTTGTTTATCCATAACCTTTACACCTCCGCAGTTTTCCACTTTTCAAATATAATTTTAAATGCACCACAAAACATGCTTTTCTATCTTTTTGATCATATTATAGGAGTCTGATTTTATTTCGACGTACATATTTAATATGAAACCATTTTAGACATTTATCATATTGGATTGCATAATATGAGTCCTTAACTATTTTTCTACAACTCCTTTAACCACATATCACATCCAGGGTTCCAGAGTTAAAACCTGGGGATGACAGGACAGTATAATCCATTTGAAATGAAAATTAGTAATTTATTGCAGAATTAGAATAAGAGAGCTTGCACACTGTGGAATTTAAAATTATTACTAAATTTTTTCTTTCTCAAACTGTATATTTGAAAACTTCTTTTGATTTTTTTAATATTTTTGGATACGTTCATAAAATCAAATACACGTTAATTTAGCAATTCATTTCACGTGAAAATAAGATTAGAAACGTCCGGATTGAAATGAGAAGACAGAGAGACGCATATATGTAAGCCTTTTAAATTGATGTAATTAATATGTATATGATTGGATGTAAGAATAGAAAAGTAAGCAATTACTTACTTTAAATTTTATTTTGATAATAAATAATTTTTTTTTTGGCTAATAAAATAAATACTTTTATTGTTTTTTATATTTGCACGGTAAAATTTAAAACTACGAAAAACACTATCATTCCAAGAAGTTTTGCAACAAAACCTACTCTAACGATGTACAAAACACAAAAGTTCAGAAACTAAATAAAGTTCTTTCCGCACATCAACTCTGAATTCGAATTTTTTCGTCAAAAAAGAAAAATATGTGTTTCCCATTTTTTTAGTGACATGTACTGAACTTACATGAAATATGTATAACTAATGTCTTTACATCTAACAAGTCCCAATACTCAATTTTTTTTACGAAATATTACGAATTTTTGGCTTCGTTCCTGTCATATTTCTTATTACTTTTTTCTTTTTTTTACATATTTTAAAAAATCTTAGGATATTATACACATTTTTTAAAAAGCTTCCCATTTAAATTTTATTGCACGAAAAAAGAAAGAAAAGTAGGAGGAAGTAAAAATGAAAAAAAATTTCACATTCATATTTCAGTATGGTTTCAAATGTTAATGAGGAAGGATGTATGATTTTTCATGCACATTTTGTATTTCCCAATAAGGTATGTTGAGTAGTGTCGGCTAAGAAAAATGTTAATAAAAGTAATATAGGTTGACACATTTCAGCAATTTGAATTATCTCATTTCGATTATTTATACGTTACTTATAAAATTGTTTCAAATAATTTCAGTTAGTTTTTAAGTTATTAACAATAAATATGTATGTACCTACTTCTAATCATTTTTTTTTAAACAATTATTTTAAACTATTTCAAACATGTTATATTGAGTGCTTCAAAAATTTTGCTGTGCTCTTCTTTCATATTGTTATATTCGATTAATACACAATTAATAACCTTGTTATGCTTGCCCTAAATGCTTATACTAAACATGAGGCGATCATTCCAAACGAGCATGATCGGTTTTTGCTGAATAAAGGTTTTTGCATTCACACGGTAAAGCTTTCCACATGGTCTCAAAGCATAATAAATAATTACCTCATTTTTTGAACATAACACCTGTACTTTATTTGTACATTCATTTCTTTATTTTTGTTTGTTGTTTTTGTTTTTATTATTATAAATTAATGTAGGATAAGCAAAATTATTGTAAGTAACTGTAAAATTTTATGTATAATTTAAAATAAAAGAGTCAATCTAGATTCAACCGTAAACGAGGAAGTTTTATTGTAGAATCATAGATAACTGGCGCAGAAATCGGTTCGCGTAATAATAAAAAAAAAAACTGCAACCACGACTGTAAAACATTTTGAAGTGTATGAGAATTACACGAAAAAAGTAAAAAAACAAAAAAATTTTTAATTGTGTATAAGAATTACGCGATTAAAATAATTAACTACTAAAAATTAATTATTAATAAAATTTTTGATTTAACTATAAAAAACAAGAAAATAGTCTGTTAAATAATAAAATAAAATTACAAAAATAAAAATATTAAATATTGAGTTCAAAGCAGAATATCAATTCCAAAATACACCCAAAATAAAAAATATACATATAAAAAAAAATAAAAAATTGAACTATAAGTGAGAAAAAAAATACATAATATTATCAAAAAAACTTTGTTTTGAATCAAAGAAATTCAACTAACAACCTAGCCAGCTTAGCCAGCTCAACCCATAGCCCATAGTAACTGAAATCAGTAGATCAATTCCAGAGTCATAAACATCAATCAATAATTATAAAGGAAAAAAAAAGTAGGATAGTTCTAATTCAATTAAATTTAAATTTTTAAACAACAATTATTATTTATGTATAGTCCGATCGTATACAATTTTTTTTTAACAATTTGAGTGTGTTAATCGTAGATTAATCATAGAAAACTTAAAACAAAACTTGAAACAAAAACTATTATATTTGCAAGGAAAAAAGAATAACAATAATAATCTTTACTTAAAATTACATTTATATAGAAAAAATTTTTTTTGTACATATAATGTAAAACACATGTACACTTATATCCAAAATTTTCTCTTGCACACGCATGTAAATAAAATTCTTTTCCTTCTAAATAATTTTTTTTTTAAAAATAAATCCAATAATTATAAAATTTCTTTGTACTTTCACAAAACAAGTTGTAGGTACATTTTTTATATATAAAATATAAGAACGTACATTAATATTACATATTGCTTTTAATAAAAATATTGTTATTAGAATAAGAATAAAATAATGAATTAAATTTTTCGAATTTATCCAATAAATGTTAAATATTATATAGTCTATTTGAAGCAAAAAAAAAATTAGCATAAATTAAGCTAAATATAAAAAAAAATATTTTTTTAGACATTTAGCATAAAATAAATAAAATTTAGCATACATTTTTTTTTTAGATAAACACAAAATATTACTTTTGATATTTTACAGAAAAAATTATAATTTTATGTTGTGTAAAAGTGAATAATTCGTTTTAATATTACATTTGAATATTGTTATAAAATATTGACATACTTTCATTTCTTTTAGTAAACCATTTAATAATTTAATACTATTACAGATTCTTAATATTAAAAACAATTCAGTATAATTTTCAATTAATAATTCAGTTTTGATTTAAAATATTAATTTTGAATTTGGAAATGGCATAACAAAAAATTACCTTAATTTTAAACTTTAAAGACAAGATCGTTTCTTTCGATGGAAACGACCAAAACTATATCTCCCAGAATTTATTGGCGGGGCTGACAAATTAATAAAAATTATGGAGCCACTGAATGCTCTAGATAAAGAGATTCTCCTGAATTATTTAAGAGATAAAATAGTTGGAAAAGCCAGGGCGTCACTGAGAAGACAAGAAAACCTAACAAACTGGGGGGATATTAAAAAAATTCTAATATCAAATCACGGAGAAAAACTTTCGCCAACCAACTTATAGATAGGATCCGGTATTGTAGAGTAAAAACTACAATAGAGGAATATTTTAATTCAATAAACAAATATTTATGTAGGTTAAATAATTATTACTTGCTCAATGATAACATGAGCACAGACAGGGTCGGGAGTAATAAAAGGATTGCTCTCGAAATATTTAGAAACAATACTCCTGAACAAACGAGGAGTATTGTCTTAGCTAGAAAACCACAATCTTTAGATGGGGCCTACGATGTAATTTGTGAGACAAATTACCATAAATTAAGTCCAAAACAACTTCGTTTATTTCAAGATAACTCTAAATATAATTTTAAATCCGATTTTAACTCTTATTCTAATACAAACTCATTTGATTACAAAACCGGAAATAAAACAAATTTTAAAAATACACCTTCTACAAGTAATAACTATAACCAACAAAGAAATCATAATTATTCCAATAATTATTTTAAAAACAATTTAAACAAAAACTAATTTAAACTACAATAGAAACCCTAGAAGTAGACAACTTTCTCATAGTTATAAAAAAAATAATGAACCAGAACCAATGGACATTTCAAATAACGAATCCTCTAGAAATTTTCGGGAACGAGGGTTTTAATGGGTTTTTTTCCCATTAAAACCCTGAGGTTCATAATTGATACTGGAGCAGAATTCAGCATAATTAATCCGGACCTTTGCCAATACAAATGGAAAATTAAAGGAGAAACACACTGTTTGAAGGCCTTAGGCCACAATGTTCATACAAATATTAAATGTAGATTTCCTCTTTTCGAAATTTTTAACGAAACAAAATTTTTTAGAATTTAAATTCCACGAAAAATTTGACGGTCTCATAGGAAATAATATATTGTACGCTTTAAATGCTACTATTGATTATAAAGACCGAATATTGAAGACTTCAAAGTCAATAATTCCATTTTATTTAAACCAAAACGAAGAAAATTACAGAAAAAATTGTTTTAACGAAAATATGACCGAACTGTTTTCAAGTGAGATTAGGCAATATAACTTATTGGATCACATTCAAACGTCGCATTTGAATGATGAAGAAATTAGGGTTTTACATAAATTAATTTTAAATAATGAGGAGGGTGATAATTTAACCTTCACATTAAGCACTCTATTTTAACGAAAAATGAAATCTCTGTATACTCTAAATTGTATCGATACCGTCAAGTTCATAAAGAAGAAGTCGATAAGCAGATCGAAGAAATGCTTAGAAATAAAATAATACAACATTCTAATTCACCTTACAATGCTCCTATTTGGGTAGTTTCCAAAAAGGCTGATAACAGTGGCACGCAAAAATAATGTATTGTCATTGATTATCGAAAATTGAATGAAATAACTGTTGAAGACCGCTACCCCATCCCAAACATTGAAGATGTATTTGAGAAACTTGGAAAATCTAATTATTTCACTACCTTGTAGATTGTAGATATCCCTAAGGGAGTTGACTTCCCCAGCCTATGCAGGTGGTACTTCACCGGGCAGTGCCCCGTGAAGAAATTCGCAATAGTACGAACCCGTCTCCTGCTCATCCACAGCAACTCCGCGGCGAATCCGCCGGAGCACGCCGGAAGAAATATTTTCGCATGGCGGCACCCCTTCGTGTCCCGCCAATGACAGCCGTATTCCGCCGCGAGTAGGCAGGCAAGCCTGGCCCCCACGGCGGAAGAAGGCAGACCGCAGAAAGGCAGCTGCTGCACAAAGGCAGCCCCAGATCCCCTCCGCGCCAACTCATTGGCAATTTCGTTGTCCGCATGGCCACTATGGCCCGGCACCCAAATGTGCGTCACTCTGTTCTCCGATGCCAATTCCATAAGTGCAGCAAGGCAGTTCCAGACCAGCTTGCATGTAACCTAAGCTGAACGGAGCACCAGCAGTGCAGCCCTGCTGTCTGAGAACACATAGATGGTGCGGTTTCTATACCCCCTTTCCAAATTGATTCTCAGACAGATCTCTATTGCATGTATTTCGGCCTGGAACACTGTGCAATACGGGTCAAGGGTTGCATATACACGCGTGTCCGGGCGGACACCGTATACGCCCAAACCCACATCCGACTCCGTTTTGGACCCGTCCGCATACCACACGCTCGAACCCGACCTAAGTACCGGACCACACCGATCCTACTTCTATCGATCGGGAAACAGAACCCTGCACCTGTGGTCGAAGTTGTACCGCGGCAGACAGGTATCTGATATGGTTATTCTTAGAATCTGCCCCGTCCTCGCCAGAGAGAAGTCGGTAAGTCACCAGCCGAGCTTCCTTCAATATATGGAGGTGCAGTGGCGGCAATCCGATCATCACCTCCAATGCAACAGTGGGAGCCGTCCGCATCGCTCCGGTCACTCCCAGGCAGGCCAGCCTCTGTAGCTTTTCCAGCTTGGCCCGCACACCCGCCTGCTGAGCCTTGCGGCACCATACAATCGACGCATAGGTGACGATGGGCCTAGCAAGGGCCGTATATAGCCACAGTGCTATTCTGGGACTAATTCCCCAGGTCCTCCCGATGAAGCTCCTTCACGTCCACAAGGCCGCCGTAACTCTTTCGATATGGGTATTCCAAGAGAGACGATCATCCATGGTTACCCCCAGATACTTCACCTCCCTCGAGTAACTAATACGTTCACCAAACAGAATTGGGCTCGTTAATCTGTCCCTGCTTCTGCGTCTGGTGAAGGCGACCAAAGTGTTCTTGCTTGGATTTATATTTAACTCAACGCCTTTGCACCACCTTTCCACAACGCGTAAATTTTGCTGTAGAAGATCAGAAATAGTGCTCTCAAATTTTCCCCGCACGACGCAGTGCACCGCCCCGTATAAATCTATCAATCACTTTTTCCATTGCTTTCGATAGAAAAAAAGTAAGGCTGATTGGACGGAAAGACCTTGGGTGGTTGCTTGGTCGCTTACCCACCTTCGAGATATACGTCACTTTAGCCACCCTCCATGCCTGAGGGATGTAACCTCACGCATAGCTGGCACGAAAAATTTCCAACAGTGCTCTAGCGATATGTTGGAAAACCCCCTGCAAAAATGCAGGATATATCCCGTCATCACCTGGAGATTTGAAGGGCCTGAAAGATAAAACAGCCCATCTAATCCTGCCCATCGTGAAGACTAGACGGGATCGTTGCCAGTCATCCCTTCTGGGCCAGGATGCCCTCGGTTCGATGACTGTATTTGAGTGATTCCGAAGAATCTCCGAGTCAGGAAAGTGCGTTGACGCCATAAGCTCATACGTCTGCTTTCCGTTCTCAGTCATGGAGCCATCAGGACGTTCCATTAAACCCAACCCGCCAGCATACTTTTTGGAAAGCACCCTGTGAAGACGCGCATTGCTGGGGAGTTCATCAATGCCCTTGCAGAACGCCCTCCACGAGATTCTCTTCGCTTTCCTAATTTCTTTATTGTGTTTTGTGAGTGAGTCCTTATACTCTTCCTACGAACCCGACGCCTTGGCGTTATTGAATAGCTTTCTGGTCTTTAGTCCAAGCCTTGAAAACTTTTCATTCCACCACAGGCACTTCCTATTGCTCCGCCTCGGCTTAGCACGGTAGCTCCCGTGATAGGCATTAGTAATAGCCGCCATCAGGGCCTCGCTGGCCAGTTCGATATCCATCACCGTTCTGACAGAAGCAGGAACGGATCCAATTCCATCCATGAGGAGCTTTTCGAATTGACTCCAATCTGTGGATTGGGGCACCCGATAAATTTCTTCTGCCAGGCCCCCGGAGACCATGATATCAAATCTAATCTGCCTATGATCGGACATGGATGTCTCATTTGAGACATGCCATCCACCAACCCTACTGCCGATAAATTCAGTGCAAAGGGTGATGTCAAGGACCTCTTCCCTAATTGCATTTATGAATGTCGGCCTATTGCCCTCTTTCATAACCATTAATTTATTGCTATATATAAATTCAAGTAGGCACTCACCTCTTTTGTTTATATTGCTGCTTCTCCAGACGGTGTGGTGGGCATTGGCATCACTTCCTATTATAAGTTGGAAGTTCCTCCTTCCACAAAAGTCCACTAGATCCTTCAGTTGCTCGTCCGGGTGGGCACAGTCCCCCGGGAGGTAGGATGAGCACACAATGAACTCTGTCCAGCTCCCGCAGGACTTCATCTTCACTAACGTAGCTACTTGATCCTTAGAACAGTAATCTGGAATGGGAAAATACGTTAGCCTTTTACTAAAGAAAATGCAAGCCCTAGGGCTGCCCCAGTTGTATTATCATACAATAGCTCACCTGTTAGGCCCTTAACCTGATCCTTCACTATGTAAGGCTCTTGGATAAGGGCGATATCGAGGCGATCCTTCACAAATCTATGAGCTAGAACATCAGTAGATGCCCTAGCATGCTGTAGATTTATTTGGATGCACCTCACAGCCATATTATTTTCCCCGGCTCTTGTCTATGGGTTTTGGCCCTTTAGACAAAGGCTTTACATGAGCCTTACCTCCCATTGCCGCCTTTTTACACATCTTGGTGGGCGCCTGCCCTGCCACAGTCTCTTTTGCCGTCCCAGGTGCCACGCTAGCCCCTCCAACAGCAAATACCGAAGCAGTTCCGGGCTTCCCAATATGCTTGAGCCCTTTTAGTTCCCCGGGACGCTTGTATTTGGCGTGCTGGTCGATGGTCCTTCCGTTTCCCTTGCCGCCATTTTCGGAGCGATTTCAGACTTTCCAATGAGTTTTGGCTCTTTTGGTTGGCCTGAAGTGCTCGTCGTTGTCGCGGTGGGCACTGGTTTTTTATTTTGTCCTGCCCTGCCGCCAGCACCTTGAGAGGATTTTCTTCCTTTAACCGGAACGGTAACACGGAAGAAATTCAGGAAACGTCGGAACTCCGCTTTCCGTAGATCTTCCAATCCGGAATCATCCACGGAAAAGGTGATGGAGCAGCCCCCGTCTTTTTCCTTATCCATCCTCAGCACCCTCCAGGAACTTATCTTGAAGCTGGGATTTTGCTTCCCTATAACCAGTGTCTGCAGGAAGATAAAGCCTTGGGACGATTGTCTCGTCCTTTGGTACGTAGGTGACGCAGACATGCTGTTTGGGCATGTCGTCGCCATCCAGTACCACGACGTCGCAACCGTCCCAAGGCTTTACCTTCCTGCAGACACTGGTTATCCACTCCCTGGTGTTTTGATTGTTGCATGTTACGGATATTCATCCGTCCCTTTGCAACGCTGCAGTGAATTGTGGATGAGAGTCCACAATCCTATCCATTTCATCCATGATGGCTACTTTGATTTTCCCCATCTGGACTTCGGATAGCCTTTCCTCTGGATGCAGTCTATGAGTGATGGCCACCTTGACCTGTGCTACTGCATCCCGATAAAAAGTCATTTTCGGGTTTTGTTGAGAAATGTTCCCACGGACCTTTTCCTCAACATTGCCCTTCATCGACCTCTTCTTTGAGGGCCCTGCATCAGGGGTGTTGCTTTCGGACCTTTCCCTCTTTTGGGGATGGTCGGCCACAACACCCGATCCGCAGGCCTTCAGCTTTTCCAGCCTTTCCTTCTCATATCTGCGAGCTTCCTCTGGGGACATCCCATCCCTGATATAAGCCGCGATACGCCGCTTGGATGCACCAGAGAAATATTGTTTTTTTCCCCTGATGTCCAACCTTTTCAGGTCCTCCTCAGTTTTTTGGATAATAGGTCCAAGAGGATCCTGATTATCCGTCTCCATCGGAGTCGCCGCCTTTTCCTCTACTGCCGTGAGAAGGAGTTCCTCCTCTGCGTCAGTCAAGAGAAGCTCTGGTTCCGAAGACCCTTGAGCACTAAGTGGTTTTATGTTGCCCTTAGTATTGTTGTTGTTGTTGTATTTGTCACTGTTGTTATTGTTGTTGTTGTTGCAGTTGTCGTGTTTGTCACAGTTGTTCTTGCTGTTGTTGTTTTTGCTGTTGTTGCTGTTAAGATTGTTTTCCATTCTTGGTCCCACGAATAGCGTGGGAGAGTAAAGTCACCCATGGCAGAGTCCGGCATACGCAGTCATCGGTATATGGGCTGAACCTTGGATTTGGCTAAACGATTTCACCAAATCGAGGCAAAGCCTAAAGACTGCTTTTTCCACATCAACTGGGCATTACGAGTTTATAAGAATGCCATTTGGGCTAAGAAACGCGCCCTCAACCTTTCAGCGTTTAATGAACGACGTCTTGAAAGAATTTATTAATAAAATTTGCATTGCATATATGGATGACATCTTAATTTATTCAACATTATTGCAAGAACACATAGATTCCATCTAAAAAATTTTAGGAAAGTTAACTGAAGTAATCTTAAAGATCCAAATAAACAAATGTGCCTTCTTATGTAAGCAAACAGAGTTTCTTGGTCATGTTATAACTAACGAAGGTATAAAACCTAATCCGGCAAAAGTCGAATCTATCTCAAATATCAGTTTGCCTAAAACACGCAAAGAAATTAGGAGCTTCTTGGGTATTACAAGATATTACCGGAAGTTTATTAAGGATTATGCAAAAATTGCGTATCCTTTAACAAAATATTTGGAAAAAGCAGCCAAAATTAACTTAAAAGATAATGAATATATAAATGCCTTTAATATGTTAAAAAGTCTCTTGATAAGAGCAACCATCGAAAAAGAGCTTCTAGCAATCGTTTTGGCGACTAAACAATTTATGTAGACCGTACATTTATGGTAGACGATTTACAATAATAGTAAACTCCAGAGGTGGAAAATCAAATTAAATGAATTTGATTTTAACATCGAATATCTCAAGGGAAAAGAAAATCAAATAGCAGACTATCTATCGCGAATAGAAAATTTTAAAAATAACAAAGGTCAGAATGAAGATGCTGAAGTTTCATTGAATGATCTTCAAGCAAATGACTGTTCTCTTGATGTAAATCAATTTTTCACCACTTATGAAAACTCTTGTAGAGGCGGTAAAGAAGAAGTAATATCAACTGGTGCTACAATCCATAGCGCAAAGGAAGATCCAATAGATTGCATTTATACATACATATATCCGAGAAACCTATCAATTTATTTAAAAACCAAATATTTCTAAGCAGGGGAAAAAACCAAATTTTTCAATGAAAATTATTAATAAAAAAGTAAAAAATTTTATAACCGTTAACAACAATAAGGGAAATTTACTAGAACTAATGAGAAAAGTACTTTTAGACAAAGGCCTAATGTGCGTAAATTGTGAAGATAATTCACTTTTTATCTATTTTCAAGATTTACATATACATATGTAAAATATTTTTCATCTAATAAAAATTTAAAACTTTTAAAGTTTTCAATTAAATTAATTGACATCACTGACAAGAAAAACTTTTAAATATTATTTCATCTGAACACTTAAGTAAAACCCATAAGTAAAAACATAAAAATAAATATTATTACCCAAACCTTTTGCTAGAAATCACAAAAGTAATTAATAACTGTGACGTATGTCAAATAGCAAAACATGATAGAAACCCTCCTAAAATACCCTTTCAAATTTCCGAAACACCACATAGTTTCAATGATATAGTTCACATGGACATTTGGTATCCTGAAAGAAATAAAATGTATTTAACAACTAAACTGAACGACAGAACTTGGATCTCAACATTGGACTGTATTAAACAAAGAATACAAAATTTGGGAAAAATGAAAGAACTAGTGTCAGACGGCGACACGTTTATTATACATAGGGCAGTCATATTATTTTTGAAAGAAAACGATATTGACTTCCACCCAATAACACCAGGCAAAAAAACGGGTAATAGCTACATATATCGAACGGCTTCATGGTACCCTTAACGAGCATCTCAGGATCGTGAATGCCGAACGTAGTAAAGATAATCTAGATGATCGTTTTTACAAAATAATCACCTATTACAACAATACGATACATTCAACAACAAAACTGAGAGTTCAAACAAAAAGTTCCCCAAAAAATATAAAAAATTAAAAAATTTCACTAAAGAAAAAAATTACGTGATAGACACCAGTAGATTCGTAGATTCGTAGTCAAGGGTTGCATATACACGCGTGTCCGGGCGGACACCGTATACGCCCGAGCCCACCCCCGACTCCGTTTTGGACCCGTCCGCATACCACACGCTCGAACCCGACCTAAGTACCGGACCACCCCGATCCCACGTCCATCGATCAGGAAACAGAACCCTGTACTTGTGGTCGAAGTTGTACCGCGGCAGACAGGTATCTGACATGGTTATCCTAAGAATCGGATCGCCCTCAATGAAGTCTCTGTGAGTTCTGTGGGCCAACTTTAGCCCTGCCCCGTCCTCGCCAGAGAGAAGTCGGTAAGTCACCAGCCGAGCTTCCTTCAATATATGGAGGTGCAGTGGCGGCAATCCGATCATCACCTCCAATGCAGCGGTGGGAGCCGTCCGCATCGCCCCGGTCACTCCCAGGCAGGCCAGCCTCTGTAGCTTTTCCAGCTTGGCCCGCACACCCGCCTGCTGAGCCTTACGGCACCATACAATCGACGCATAGGTGACGATGGGCCTAGCAAGGGCCGTATATAACCACAGTGCTATTCTGGGACTAATTCCCCAGGTTACCCCGATAAAACTCCTACACGTCCACAAGGCCGCCGTAGCTCTCCCGATAACTCTATCGATATGGGCATTCCAAGAGAGACGATCATCCATGGTTACCCCCAGATACTTCACCTCCCTCGAGTAACTAATACGTTCACCAAACAGAATTGGGCTCGTTAATCTGTCCCTGCTTCTGCGTCTGGTGAAGGCGACCAAAGTGTTCTTGCTTGGATTTATATTTAACTCAACGCCTTTGCACCACCTTTCCACAACACGTAAATTTTGCTGTAGAAGATCAGAAATAGTGCTCTCAAATTTTCCCCGCACGACGAAGGCCACATCGTCAGCGTATCCCCAGACACGCGCCCCGGAGCCCCTGAGAGCAGCTATTAGATCATCCACTACAATGGACCACAGGAGGGGCGAAAGAACCCCGCCCTGCGGACATCCTTTTGCAGCGGAGATGAAGAGTATATCGTCAGCTATGGTGGACTTAATAATCCTATCCTGTAGCATCCGATTGACCCATCTGCTAGTCGTCGCATCAATCCCTCGTTTGTGCAGCGACTCACAGATGACATGATATGGGGTGTTGTCAAAAGCTCCCTCTGATAGGCGTATTGAGATTCATGCAAGGGATTGCTTCCCAGTGCACCGTCCCGTATAAATCTATCAATCACTTTTTCCATTGCTTTCAATAGAAAAGAAGTAAGGCTGATTGGACGGAAAGACCTTGGGTGGTTGCTTGGTCGCTTACCCACCTTCGGAATATACGTCACTTTAGCCACCCTCCATGCCTGAGGGATGTAACCCCACGCATAGCTGGCGCGAAAAATTCCCAACAGTGCTCTAGCGATATGTTGGAAACCCCTCTGCAAAAATGCAGGATATATCCCGTCATCACCTGGAGATTTGAAGGGCCTGAAAGAGAAAACAGCCCATCTAATCCTGCCCATCGTGAAGACTAGACGGGATCGTTGCCAGTCATCCCTCCTGGGACAGGGTGCCCCCGGTTCAATGACTGCATTTGAGTGATTCCGAAGAATCTCCGAGTCAGGAAAGTGCGTTGACGCCATAAGCTCCAACGTCTGCCTTCCGTTCTCAGTCATGGAGCCATCAGGACGTTCCATTAGGCCAAACCTGTTAGCATACTTTTTGGAAAGCACCCTGTGAAGACGCGCACTGCTGGGGAGTTCATCAATGCCCTTGCAGAACGCCCTCCACGAGATTCTCTTCGCTTTCCTAATTTCTTTATTGTATTTTGTGAGTGAGTCCTTATACTCTTCCCACGAACCTGACGCTTTGGCCCTATTAAATAGCTTCCTGGTCTTTAGTCTAAGCCTTGAAAGCTCCTCATTCCACCACGGGCACTTCCTATTGCTCCGCCTCGGCTTAGCACGGCAGCTCCCGTGATAGGCATTAGTAATAGCCGCCGTCAGGGCCTCGCTGGCCAGTTCGATATCCATCACCGTTCTGACAGAAGCAGGAACGGATCTAATCCCATCCATGAGGAGCGTTTCGAATTGACTCCAATCTGTGGATTGGGGCACCCGATAAATTTCTTCTGCCAGGCCTCCGGAGACCATGATATCAAACCTAATCTGCCTATGATCGGACATGGATGTCTCATTTGAGACATGCCATCCACCAACCCTACTGCCGATAAATTCAGTGCAAAGGGTGATGTCAAGGACCTCTTCCCTAATTGCATTTATGAATGTCGGCCTATTGCCTTCATTCATAATCATTAATTTATTGCTATATATAAATTCAAGTAGGCACTCACCTCTTTTGTTTATATTGCTGCTTCCCCAGACGGTGTGGTGGGCATTGGCATCACTTCCTATTATAAGTTGGAAGTTCCTCCTTCCACAAAAGTCCACTAGATCCTTCAGTTGCTCGTCCGGGTGGGCACAGTCCCCCGGGAGGTAGGATGAGCACACAATGAACTCTGTCCAGCCCCCGCAGGACTTCACCTTCACCAACGCAGCTACCTGATCCTTAGAACAGTAATCTGGAATGGGAAAATACGTTAGCTTTTTACTAAACAAGATGCAAGCCCTAGGCCTGCCTCCAATTGTATTATCATACAATAGCTCACCTGTTAGGCCCTTAACCTGATCCTTCACTATGTAAGGCTCTTGGATAAGGGCGATATCGAGGTGATCCTTCATAAATCTATGAGCTAGAACATCAGTAGATGCCCTAGCATGCTGTAGATTTATTTGGATGCACCTCACAGCCATATTATTTCCTCCGGCTCTTGTCTATGGGCTTTGGCCCTTTAGACAGAGGCTTTACATGAGCCTAACCTCCCATTGTCGCCTTTTTACATATCTTGGTGGGCGCCTGCCCTGCCACAGCCTCTTTTGCCGCCCCAGGTGCCACGCTAGCCCCTCCAACAGCAAATACCGAAGCATTTCCGGGCTTCCCAATGGGCTTGAGCCCTTTTGGTGCCCCCGGGACGCTTGTATTTGGCGTGCTGGTCGATGGTCCTTCCGTTTCCCTTGCCGCCATTTTCGGAGCGACTTCAGACTTTCCAATGAGTTTTGGCTCTTTTGGTTGGCCTGAAGTGCTCGTCGTTGTCGCGGTGGGCACTGGTTTTTTATTTTGTCCTGCCCTGCCGCCAGCACCTTGAGAGGATTTTCTTCCTTTAACCCGAACGGTAACACGGAAGAAATTCAGGAAAAGTCGGAACTCCGCTTTCCGTAGATCTTCCAATCCGGAATCATCCACGGAAAAGATGATGGAGCAGCCCCCGTCCTTTTCCTTATCCATCCTCAGCACCCTCCAGGAACCTATCTTGAGGCTGGGATTTTGCTTCCCTATCCTACTTAGAAATTTGTCCCTGGAGAGACTGACGGTTGTCTCGTCCTTTGGTACGTAGGTGACGCAGACACGCTGTTTGGGCATGCTGTCGCCATCCAGTACCACGACATCGCAACCGTCCCAAGGCTTTATCTTCCTGCAGACACTGGTTATCCACTCCCTGGTGTTTTGATTGTTGCATGTTACGGATATCCATCCGTCCCTTTGCAACGCTGCAGTGAATTGTGGATGAGAGTCCACAACCCTATCCATTTCATCCATGATGGCTACTTTGATTTTCCCCATCTGGACTTCGGATAGCCTTTCCTCTGGATGCAGTCTATGAGTGATGGCCACCTTGACCTATGCTACTGCATCCCGATAAGAAGTCATTTTCGGGTTTTGTTGAGGAATGTTCCCAGGGACCTTTTCCTCAACATTGCCCTTCGTCGACCTCTTCTTTGAGGGCCCTGCATCAGGGGTGTTGCTTTCGGACCTTTCCCTCTTTTGGGGATGGTCGGCCACAACAACCGATCCGCAGGCCTCCAGCTTTTCCAGCCTTTCCTTCTCGTATCTGCGAGCTTCCTCTGGGGACATGCCATTCCTGATATAAGCCGCGATACGCCGCTTGGATGCACCAGAGAAATATTGTTTTTTTCCCCTGATGTCCAACCTTTTCAGGTCCTCCTCAGTTTTTTGGATAATAGGTCCAAGAGGATCCTGATTATCCGTCTCCATCGGAGGCGCCGCCTTTTCCTCCACTGGCGTGAGAAGGAGTTCCTCCTCTGCGTCAGTTAAGAGAAGCTCTGGTTCCGAAGACCCTTGAGCACTAAGTGGTTGTATGTTGTCCTTAGTGTCGTTGTTGTTGTTGTCACTGTTGTTATTTGTCTTGTTGTTGTTGTTGTTATGTTCCATTTCTTGTCCCACGAGTAGCGCGGGAAAGCAAAGTCACCCATGGCAGAGCCCGACATACCATGAGAAGGCTCATTTAAACTGGAGGGCGCCTGGTATCCAGAGTCCGCATACTAACGACTAAGCTCCCCCTTAGCCACGCAGTCATCGGCATATGCTGTTCCACTTTGACTTGGGACGCCTGTCGTCAGCTGACGTATAGATATAGGGCTGAAACTCACAAAGCAAGAGGCTCGCCGCGAAACATGACCACGACACGAACGTAACTTTGATCGTTTCAATTACCCCTTTATCCTCCGACATTACCGGGGCCCACCACTAGGAGGTGACAGTGCGGTTTTGGGCCCCCAAAGTATAATCAATATCGCCGTTATTTTCATGGTTTCAGAAAATATATTTTATTTGATGATTATATTTTCGTTTTGATTGTGTTTTATTATATTTTATATTTTTACTGGTGTCAATTATATAATAGACACCAGTAAAAATATAA